AGCAGTGCGACTAGCTGACGGTAGTCAGCTGGTGTATTTGTGAATACCTTCACACTGGTACCCGCCGTCCTCGCTTTGGAGAATTGAATCCCCTTGCTGTTCATCATCCTACTCAAGGATGACCAATCAGCGGTGCCCTCGATGTTGATTGGCGGAACTCCTGTTCCTGCCATGGGGGCCTCGGTGGTCCTGGTTGCTCTAGGACCACTCTTCTTTGTGGCAGCTGGCATCTTTCGCTGCCTGGGTTCTTCTTCTTCTTCGGAGGAGGAAACTCGCACCCGCTTCCTCCGTCTGGTGGCGACACTGAAGTCGGTGTCGTCCGTCCTCTTCTCGGCTTCTTCTTCCTTCGGTCCTTCGGTCTGTTGAGTGCCCTCTTCTTGGGCGTCCATCTCGTCCGATGTCGCCTGGTGGTCCTCTTCCTCCTCTTCTCCTGTCTTCTTTGCGGCCTTCTTCTTGGCCCTGCGGAGCTTCCCGCTCAGGTCTTCAATCTCCTGTCTGGCCTGCAAGAATGCTTCTTGCAGGTTTCGCATCTGCTCTTCCAGCATGGCGAAAGCATCCTTCTTTTCTTTCAGCTGGTTAGCCAGCTTCTCAATTTTTGCCATCGTAGATGGCAAACAAACAATCTATCGCAATGAAAATTGCAATAAGATTGCTCAATATGTCCGGGTGGGTCGCAGTCGCACAAGTGTATGCTCGTGACGGCTGCTAGCTCGGAACTGTTACCTGCAGCCCTTATACAACCTTTTAAATGACTGAAGTGTCTGTCCTATTAGGTGTGCCCATTCCGCTTGTATAGCTGTTCTAAGAGGGTTTTGGTAATGTTCTTACAGTATACAATGCTGTTTAAGGAATACTGTATAATCATTCTTGCAACTCTAATAGGAGTGATAATTATTAGTTGGGAATTTATTGAGCAATATAGGGTTCGTTTAAAGAGCATTTAATAGCAAAATACACGTATTTACCTTAACGGCATGAACTCCAAACCATTCCGAGAGATAAATGTTATTTTTATCCGAAAAACGAAGGTTACGTTTTTTTCTTCTAAACGAATTCCAACATTTCGTATTTGTGAGTAATTAAACAAATGCGCTACGATATTCGAAAAAAAAATTAAAACAAAGCGGATGTGTCTATCATCTTTTGTTGCGAATTATTCACAAACACGAAATGTTTTAATTTATTTAGAAGAAAAAATGTAACCCATCCTGTTTTGCATAAAAATAACATTTATCTTTCGGAATGGTTTGCGATTCATATCGGCAAGGTAAACTATAAAATGCCCTTACTCAATAAACTAGTAGTGATGAACGGAACACTGGTATTTTGGGATTAACAATTAGAAATTCTCTTGACCAATCTACACCAATTTTGTTGTGGTTAGAATTTCAAATATCTGCGAATGCCAAAACCTGCAGTTTGCCTCTGTTTTCTGCCATCACTTTTTTGCTATTAGTCGGATCTTCTTACGTGTGGTCTCATTTTGTACGTCTCATAAATACCTAAAAATCTTATATGAAAAATTGGTGTACCCATTGTATGCATCCATGTTTTGAATATCCCCTTGAGCAACTTGCAGCAATAAAACCAGACTTTACAATTATTTTGCAAACCAGGGGAATTTTCGCCTAATAGTCTAATATGATTAGTTATTTCACCATGGACAACGATAAAGTAATAACTCTTTTGTACGAGAACAGATCGCTGAGGGACAAAACTTATCATGCTAGAGATATTTCTTGACAAAAATAGGAGAAAATTGCCCACAGGACTCAACGCTACCAGTATTTTTTTAATCTGATGTGGTAACATTATTTGTCGGTTTTTGTGAATAAAGCAGTTTCTGAGAGCTGGGTAGTACAGATATGTTTAGTTATTGCCCTGTCATTTACCAGTGTTAAGCATAACAAAATGCCTCGAGTTCGAAGACCTCCAAATTATCACTATGTTAGCGATTTTGACCTGTCGGTAGAATTATTGCCTATCGAGATCTTGGTGTGTCCTATCGCCGTATTAATTGTACGGCAATGTCGGTAATGCCTGTGTGAATAGAACAAGGTAGAGGAACACGAAGAAGCCCAACTGGTCCGCCGAGGTGTATCACAGAGCGTCAGCATGAGCGCTTCAGACAAGTAGCCCTACGAGACCGTTTTGCTACTATTCGTCAGATCGCTGACCAATGGTTTGGAGAACTATGCGTACACTCTATCGCCGCATTCCAGCTTTGGGACTTTTTTCATACCGTCCACGATTAGTGCTTTCTCTGACTGCGAACCACTGCTGTCAAGGTTTGAACTGGAGCAGAGAACAGCAACATTGGGAGGCAGAGTGTCATCTTCAGCGACGAATCGAAATTCTGTCTAGGTACGCACGGTAGTCGTAGAAGGGTAAGACGCCGCCGTGGAGAACGGCGTGATATTGAATTGGCTGTAGGTATGTACACAGGACTGTTGAAATACTGGTTTGGGGGGATATTGCTTACGGTAGCCAATCGCCCCTTCTATTTCTTCAAGGCAATATGACTGCTGATGTTGATGATAACAAACCACTTTACTACCGTACCTAGAGGGCCGTCCTCACGTCTTTTTTCAGCAAGACAACGCACGTCCTCATATTGCTCGTTGTACTACGAACTTTCTTCAAGAAGTAGGCATTAATGTTTTGCCGTGGCCACCCCGTTCACCGGATTTAAATCCCATCGAACATGTGTGGGATATGATGGGGACGCGACCATCCACTTTGCACCATCCGCCACAGACTCTGCCACAGCTAATCCACGAGTTGCCTGGAATGAGGCGCCCTAACCAGACATCGATCATCTCATTTTGTCGATGCCTAGACGTATACAGGAGTGTATTCAGCTGCGGGGTCGCCCAGCACATTATTATTTTTTCTTTCTTATTACTTGTCAATACAATTTCGTGGGACTAATATCGTTTCATTTTTGCCAAAATATCAAGTCGAAGAAATTAATTTTACTAGGTTCAACACTTCTAATGTCACCGAGTATATTTACATTAATTGCATAGCCAAATAGTTATTTTTTTTATATTTTATCCATCAACATTTGCAGCTCTAGACTATTAAGTAGGTTGTATTGAGACGGACTGGCACTAGCTGGACTAGCAAAATAATGTTCACATCTCCGTGAAACTGTCACATTGTGAAATACTCGAAAAACGTTTGTGGTTGGCAAGATTTCAAACTGCCCTTTGCCGGTCCTACTAGATAGTACTGACATGCTCTGCTTTTCCACCATTTGACAGCAGTAACTTCAGTAAAGGACTTGAGCATTATTAGTTATCGAATACTCGGATAATTTTGAATCCAAAAACAATTTTGGTCGGCACGGGTATTACGTATCTTGAAAAGTGACATTTCGTCGGTTTTTTTGACATTTCGCGACATAACGTAGGTTTTTCTACAAGATGTTAACTTAATACAAGCTGTTGTGAACTCTCTTTGTAGTTTTACGTGTTGCTTAAACGACAGGGAACACCGAGCTTAGCGAACAAACGTGGAATGAACTATTGGCACACCAAAAACTGCCTAGTCTGCAAGATGACATTTCGTCGGGTTTTTTGACGTTTTTTAGGTTTTATACATAATATCCGTGCCGTTTTGTATACTGAAATAATTTTGCTTGGTCTGGAATTCACAACTTAATTTTGATCCCAGTGTGAGGCACGGCCTGAAATGTTTGCGAAATGCGTGAACCCTTCATATCAACGAAAGTTGCGCTGCTGTGTACTCGATATGCTGTTACAATCTCTTTTATACTTTCAATAACTCTTACGGAAACATTTCTGAATAAACATTGATTGTAATTACCATGCCAATGTACTTTATCAGTCTTAATGAATACAGCATTATTTGACTGTAAAGCTACTATAATAATGCACGGTATTATGTTTTTACGAAAAACAAATCGAGTAGGTTTCTTAATAAACTATCCTAAATGTCGTGTCGAAAATATCGGTTTTTTATCAGATACTACACAGGTATGTAGATCACTTTTATGAAAGACAATTGCTAACACAATAATGAGATTTTCAGAAGTTTCCAGTAGAAAGAGGTGAATTCAATAAATTGAACAATGGTCACAAAGGGTTCTTTCGGCAATTGCTGGGCGATTATAGGGTAATAACAGATAATCATGATTTGGTAAAATATAACAACGATTGGTTTGGTTATGTTAAAGGTAAATGTTAATAATAAAAGATAGGTTAAATATTTCGTATCAGTATAATGACAATACTAAACATATATTTCAAGACTTTACGATATATTTACTTCGAGTTCTTATCAACTTATTGATGCCACGTGATTCTATTGAGTTGTATTTTGTATTAGCAATAGACTAGATTATGTAAATCTATTTACTAATAGCCGTTATGAATACGTTTTACATGTATATTTTTAGCGTTTATATGATTCGCCATATTATTGTCTTCACTTTTTTTTCTTGAGAATTTTTCTTTATTATCTAAATATGTATAAGATGATTTTGGCTTGCGCACACCAAATTTAAGACACTTTCTTTGCATCAGAGACTGACGAGGTATGTTAAGCATTTCTATATAAGACTGATTAAAAAGATATAGTTTTTTTATACTCCAACCACCACGAAGGCCTAAGGCCTAAACACCCATGTGGTACCGTGGGGCCATAGGGGGATACAGGGGAAAGGGGGAACGCCAGACGGACTCTGGCAACATGCACACATTCTGGTCCCGCCTACGAGATCCGCGTTCGTGGTACCTCCGTGTTCGACAGTCAGAGACCGTCTACCACCTACGGACAATCACAACATCCATAGCCAAGAGAACATTTTTTCCTGAGACCGAAGAGTCTACTACTGCGGCCACCGCTGCTGCCTGAAGCAAAAGTCCAAAATATCATCTCTATAGATATGCTTATGTGCAGAAAGACAAAATTAGTATTTTGCTCGATTTCTATAACATAGTTATGTCAAACTAATTTTTTTTTATATTCCCCAGGTTGTAGCCAAATAGTCCTGAAACCTAAAACAACCGAAGAAGTGTCACAGATCTTGTCATTTTGTAATGAAAACAGATTAGCAATATGTCTACAAGGTGGAAACACAGACGTTGTAGGAGCATCTGTACCAGTATTCGATGAAATCGTTGTTTCAACAGAGCTGATGAATGAAATTATTGATCTAGATGAAAATTCAGGTATGTGGCAGCACAATGTTTGAATTTAACTCGAAGATTATCAGATTAGACAGATTTTTGAAGAAAAATAAAAATACTATATGCAGCTGATGCTGGGTTCCCAGAGCAGTAGTGTGCAACACAATTGGATGAAAACTATGAGTTTATAGACATGTTCAAAATTAATAACTGAAACTTATTTACCACCTATTATAATAATGTTTCTTTATCAACAACCGAGCAAAAATGGGGGGGGGGTATCGAATGAAAAGTGCCGCATATTGTAAACTGAAGAGCAAAAAGATGGGCTTCAGGTCCGCCTATTTGGAAAATTGTGACACTACTACCAGGGAGGGTGAGGAGTGGGGGTGGTAGCGCACACTATTAGTTGATTTTTGGAATAAAAAAAATCATTTGTCAATTTTTCAAATTGCCTCTGATTTTCTCTGATCTTTGTTGAGGCATATGATGATGATCTCTTTACTTGAACCCGCTTTTTTATCAAAAACCTAAACCATTTCGTGAAAAAGCATGAAATAGTTGAACTACTTAATGTACAGTTCGCCTTTTGCCGCTAGCATAGTTAGATAAACAGAAAAATAGATGTTGTTTTGCGACTGAGCAATGTTTGTTTTTATTTTTAATTGTTAATTGGTAATTAATAAAATGCCACCAGATTATTGATGTCAAGTTACCCAGTTGACCAGAGTATTATTCATCTCAGTCATTTGGAAGACATGGAGAATTCTTAGGTGTTGAACTTTTTTAGATTCAAATTGAAAGTGTTCCTTGTCAGGGTATCTGTACGGTATTGCCCAGCATTTCTTCTAATAAATATTAGAAAATATCTAGGTTTTTTATGAATTCCGAAAATTAACCGTTTTTTTCAAAAAGATGTTCTAAACTTCAGGTTCCGAAAAAGTTCCTTCACGATTCAAAAAGTTCCGAAAACCGGAACTTATCAGCCGATTGGCAACACTGCGGGGTCGATGACTGGTAAAAAGTAATGATATGCTTTTGCGGCTTTTGGCACCACTATTTGTGTCTAACAAGGCGGTGCTCTGGTTAGTCATGAGACTTACGACTCTTTTCTCTGAGCTCGCTCATTTCGTTCAACTCTCTACCGACCGGCCTAGAAGCTGACGAGAGTATTGTGTTGCCTATAGTAATGACTCACTGAGTCAGAATATACATCATACTATGAAAATGAAATGAAGGGTTGGGGTTGCCGATGTTATTGTATTTAAGTATTAATATTTTTGGCTGAAATGGAATAGTAGTAGTAGTAGTAGAAAGATTTATTTAGCAGATTTGGCTACATAAACAGAATAATTGTAAACAACTTAGAACTCGTAAATTCAAGCCATATGGTGTACGATGTAAATGCTGGGCAACCTATAATTGTAGATTTAACAAGTGATTTCTCAATTTTACTTTAAATTTTGGTCTTTTATCTCCGAGTATAATTTATCATATTCAATCAACCCTTGATGGAATACAGATTTGTAGCATATGTTATACTTTTTGGTCATTAAATGGAAGTCATCTTTATTTCTGGTATTATGTAAATGATGGTCGACATTTGATGATGTTAAATTAGTTAGACTTGATGGAAATATATTATTTTTTACTTTATAAATGAATATCATTACAAGATATTTGATAACATTTTTTACATTGAGCCATTTTAATTTGCTAAGCATTTGCCTAATTGGAGTATATTTATCTTTATTTAGTATTATTCTCATGCACTTATTTTGTAAAATTTGCAGTCTTTCAAAAATGGAATTATTTGCTAAATATAGAATAGTCGAACAATACAAGAAATTTGGAAGAATGATGATATTATAGATAATTTTTCTGCTATATGAACTCAGACATCCAGAAACTCTCGATAAATATCCCACTTTACTACTAATCTTATTTATAACTTTTTCATAATGAATATCAAAAATTAATGGAGAGTCAACAAAAAACCCCAGGTATTTAAAATTTTCTTCGAATTCAATATCTTCACCATCAATATTCAGTTGAACATTTGTACATTGTTTTTTCCGATTAACAAGGCTTTCGTTTTACTTGCATTTAATTTTAGTCTGTTAGATGCTAACCATTTTGAGACAAGCTTCAAGTCTTCATTCATATAAGAGATACCAGACTGAATATTTTTAGTACTTATATAAATCATAGTGTCATCGGCGAAAATCTGAATTTTGCATTTTTTGACTATGGCAGGTAAATCATTTATGTATAAAATAAAAAGCAGTGGTCCCAGCACACTGCCCTGTGGAACACCCAACGTATTTTCAATTTTTGATGAAATAGTGTTATTAACTTTTGTAACTTGCATCCTTTTAGACAAATAATTTCTAAACCAATCTAAAACACTTCATGTTATACCATATGCCTTCAATTTACCTAACAATATATCTCTATCAATCGTTTCAAATGCCCTCTTCAAATCCAAAAATACTGCTATGACAACTTCTTCTGAGTCTATGGCTCTTCTCCAATTCTCAGTTACCAACTGGAAAGCTGTTTCTGTGGAATATTTTTTTCGAAAGCCTGCTTGCGCCTCCACTAAAATTTTGTTTTCTTCTATACACTGCATTAATTGGTCATGCACTATGGACTCTAATAATTTTTCAATGTCTGGTAACACATTTACTGGTCTCATATCGCTGCATCTTTTAGAATTTTTTATTTTGGGAACTGGTGTTATTGTAGAGCATTTCAAATTTTCAGGAAAAGAACTGCTTCGCAGTGAACAATTGATCCAATTTAATACAGGATATCCCAAAATTTCGAAACAGTTCTTCAGCACGTTTTTAGTAGTGATTTCGGCACAGTTGTTATTTGATTTTAAACTGTTTACTTTTTTTCTTAGATAATTCAATGATACGTTGTGAAATTTTGAAAGTGTATGCAACATTTCCCCCTGGAAACTGATTTTCATATAGTCAGGTGCAGCATTGGCAGTACCCACAATATCAACAATACTTTCCACAAAATATTCATTTAGTTTGTTTGCAATCACCAAAGAATTTGTTTCGGTACCGTTTTCGAATTGAACTTGATTTACACAATCATGCGGCTTCGAATTGATCAGTCTTTTTAAAGTCTTCCACATCTTTACACTGTCGCACTTGTCATTATCGATTTGTTTATCGTAGAATTTCCTCTTTTCTTCTCTAATTACATATACACATTTATTCCTAAGAGTTTTATATACCTCCCAATCATCATTTGATTTTGTGAATATACATTTATTGTATTGTTTGTCTCTCAAATTTTGAGCTAACTTTAATATTCTTGTTAGACCAGGGTGTATTTTTTGTCGAGCAAATCACTTTTTTATCAGTTGCAAGATCTAAACAAGTTTTTATATTTCCTATTATGTTGTCATATATTTTTTCCATATTCTCACCAAAATTCCAATAGCAGCCAGCAAGTTCTCGTTCAAGTTTTTCGTACTTAATAGTATTTACAATTTTCTTAATTTTTGTATCAGAAAAATGCCCTACCAAGGGCAGCATTGTCCAACTTTGATCGCTAACTTTAGGTGTATGTACAGCTTTAATCCCTGCACATTCGAAATTTACAATAACAAGATCTAACAAAGTCTCTGATAATGATGTTATTCTGGTACTCTCTTCAATTTTTTGCTTGAACCCATAGTTGTTTATGGTTTCTTTCAATTTTCTTGTTTTCATGCTTTTACCATAATAATTTAAATTAAAATCATCTAAAAGTATTATATTGCTACGAATGTTTACATTCTTCCGAAAAAAGAAGGGATATGTGGTTCGGTTTTGAGGAATTACCGAATTCTAAATCAAAATCCAATTTTTGCTCTCAAATCTCATCATTTCAACGTATAATTTAATGAGACATCTCAAAACAAAACAACCGGGTTCCCTAGATTGTGTATGTTGTCAGTTCGCAGTTCAGTTGCTGGATACTGCAGACGTGCAGTCACGCTTTGCATAATTGAACGAGTCATATGTAACAAAAGAGTTGTTCAATTATCGCTCACATAGATGAGTCGTTCATTTAGAACGACTCGTTCGCGAACGACACCTTTGCAAGAAAACAAAGAACTGAAAAACACCTGACAGCAAGCGGACTCCTCCAACTCGACTTGATCGACGGACATAGTACCATTTTTATAAAATAGATGGCACCATCCGCCGCATAGTTTACACTTGCACTATATTTCACTTATAGTGACACTGCAGGAATGAAATCAAAGCACAAATAATAATAATAAAATTGACAGTTGCGAGATTCATGCAGCACTCACTGTAGGTTTTAAACTTTTAATTTTGATAAGAGTTCAATAACATTACCCGAATACCCAAAACAAAAGTCCACTCTCTAATAAACAATTGATTTTTGGCACTAGCATTTAGCCCTGGGTCTGCTTGGGGGAGGGGGGGGGGGTGTTACTTACTACCTCTACCCCCTCCTTTTCGACGCGCTTGCGGCTCACACTAGATACATAAATAACTATTTTCAGGTGTTATTATATGTCAAGCAGGCTGTGTATTGGAAAATATTGATAAAAAATTAGAAGGTAGCGGCCTTATGGTCCCCTTAGATCTGGGCGCGAAAGGCTCATGTCATATTGGAGGAAATGTAGCAACCAATGCTGGAGGACTCAGGTTGTTACGATATGGAAACTTGCATGGTAACGTTCTTGGTTTAGAAGTGGTACGTTTAGTCATGAAGAAAAATATCCCTATTAGGGATTCATCAAGTCAAGTAGCTTGATATTTTTAAAAACTATTTGACTTGAAAATAAAGTTACTTGAAACGTTATTGCTCTGCTCGACTTGATGTTCTTATTGTTGGACTTGAGGTTAGACATTTTCAAACTGGTTGATACTTGATAGTCAGCTATAATATTTTGTTTTACTAAAGACCTTCAATAATATTTATTTGTGCAACCGATGAGCCGCATTTTTCATTTTAATAAAATAATCACGTAGAAAATCGAAAATTTTTGCGAGACAGCGTTTCCAAACCAAAAAACACGAAATCTGTAGAAAGTGTTGCTAAAATTCGGTAAAGAATAAAGTATTTTCGTTGTGTATTCATGATCTACTCGAATTTATATTATAAAAATTATCAAGTAATATCAAGCATACTTGAATTTTTACTTGAAAACTACTTGACTGGGTATTAGACTGCTAATATTTATATACAGGGTGCGGCAGAGAGGTCGGACGTTTTTGGGATGGGTAGTACTCTCCGCCTCCGTCTACGAGAGAGGTGGGGAGGGTGCCGTTTGACTCGTGAGATCCTAGCATTATTTTACCAGTTGTCGTCATGGAGCCTTGGACGGTGGAGCACCGCCTTTTCGCCTATGATTGTTTCGTCCGAAATAATGAGTCAGTCATCGTCGTACAACGTGAGTTTCGTCGCCACTTCAACATTCATCGGAATAGAGCTGTTCCCTCTCGAAACACCATCCTTCGTTGGGTTGAATCACTTCGCAGGCGTGATGAACTGATCAACAGAAGACCAAGAGGAACGCCGCGAACAGTTCGAACTCCTGGAAATGTTGAACGCGTTCGACAGGTCTTTCTTCGCAGTCAGACTCGATCTGCCCGGAAACATGCTGCTGCACTTCGCCTTGGTGATCGTTCGGTAAGGCGAATTTTGCATATGGATCTCCGCTTTCACCCCTACAAATTGGCCATTGTGCAACAGCTACAGCCCGGAGATTATGCACAACGAATGAACTTCGCACATGAGATGGAAGCACTGATCGATCAAAATGAGAACCTCATTTTGTTTATGAGTGACGAAGCCCACTTTCACCTAAACAGCATTGTTAACCAGCAGAATTGTCGTTATTGGGCTAATGAAAATCCGCAACTATTTTATGATTTTTTTAAAACCGTCCATCCTCTCTGCCGCACCCTGTACTTGACTTAATTTCAAGTAGCTTGAAAATTAAGTCAAGTAGTGAATCCCTAATCCCGATGGTTAACTAAGCGTTGTTGTTTTAGGTCAAAGCAAATGGAGAGGTAATAGACTGTCTCAGTACATTGAAAAAAGATAATACCGGGTTTCATTTGAAACATTTGTTCATCGGATCCGAAGGAACGTTAGGATTTATAACAAAAGTATCTCTACAGTGTCCCCCTAGAGCTAGGAGTATAAATGTTGCGTTTCTAGGTAAACAATTTTTTAGTATTAATTATTAGAACTCTTTCATTATCCTTTTTCCCTCAATGTTGTATTGCTTTTGGCATGAAATATACCATTTTACGAAAATTTTGTAATCCACGGATACAAAAGCGGTAAATGAAATTGAGCAGTAACATCGCTTTCTGACGCATCAGTAGAAGAACTTATGTATGTCCCTTTTTTAGAAAAATATTTGACAAGAGATTTACAAGGTGCATACGGGCTATAAAGTATGAAGACAAAACATTAACAGCCTTACCCCATATAACATCGCTATTCGCTTTAAGTAAGCTAAATTTCAGGTCTACAAAACTTCGACAAAGTTCTAAAAACATTCCGAAAGGCCAAAGAGGACCTGTGCGAAATCCTTTCAGCATTCGAAGTGATAGATTCTACGTCAATGGAATTTGCCAAAGAAACCGTAGGGATAACATCGCCAATAGGAGACTATCCATACTATCTTCTAATCGAAACATCTGGCAGCAACCCTGAACATGACGCCGATAAGCTTTACAAATTTTTGGATTTGGTATTGGTGAAACATCTTGCTCTGAATGGTACACTAGCAACAGAGCCTGCAAAAGTGAATGTAAGTTTGAAATTATCTCTCACCTCGAATCAGTCTTACTTGAAACCGCCAAAACATTGATAAACTCTATATAGGGTGTGGCAAAAGTTGTAGGATTTTTCATCAGCTATCGGTCGTTGACCCTGGATTTGACCTTGAAGGTTATTTGGAGGTCAACTTTAAAATTTCAAATGCGATCCCGGTAAGGAACGAGCGGAAAATTTTACGTTCAAACATGACTTTGAACGACCCTCATATTTGACCTTGAGCATTCGCGGTGGATCAGTGCGTGCGTACTCAAATCTAAACGTACGTTTAGGAAGCACTGTTTTCCAAACTGATATGATCTTTAATTCTATACCTGATAGGTCTAGGTCTAGATGATTCACCAATACATCATTTTTTTTAAATCACCACTGTTTGATGTTATTTTGATGAGACAAGGTAATTAACAAAGTATCCTGCGCATACATTTTTTTTTGAAGATTTCAATGGGTAATCTTATTTATTTTCAAACTGTCTCTAGTATATGATTATGTATAATAATTACGGGAAATAAATTACTTTGACTTAACGGTGATATTACGAAGGTTTTTCATCGAACGTGTGAAAGACAGGTTCAGCAATTTGACATTGAGGACTTAAAATCGCCCGAGATTTCATGTTTGTACATCGCATAATATCTAAGCTGAAGAAAACACTGACATACTTAAATCCTATCAGTATAAAGTGAGATGCTTATGAGCTTTCATTCGTTTTCAATTAGGAATAAAACTACTATAACAGAACCTTTGTTTTGCTGGCCGCCAAACGAAACCATGTACGTTGAATCTTTACTAAAATTCCTGACATGCTTAGTCAAAGTACAAATCAAAAAAGGCCACCGAGATGTTGCTGACGGATATTTATCAGCATAAAAACCACAACCTAAGGTTCAGATGTTACATTGACTGTTATAAAAGTTTGTAGAACATTATCATGACATTTTCCTTCATTACAGGCGATATGGGCAATAAGAGAAAAAATTCCAGAGGGCTTTAAACATTCAAGTGTGTTGTGTTATGATTTTTCTTTACCTTTGAGCAAGTATTTTGACTTAGTCGAAGACATGAGGAACCACATGGGAAGTCTTGCTAAAAAAGTTTTCGGATTCGGCCACTTAGGTACAGATATCTATTAACTGATAACAAATGAAAGAGAGAGAAGTAGTTTTGCGGAAACTTGGGTGAAAAAACAAAGGGCAATCGTAGGCATGTGCGCAATAACGAATCAGGAGCAGAAATAGAAGGATTGGTAACTCGAGCGATCGACGTTTTTGCTTATTGGCTTCATCGGCAACACCGAAGTGAAAACATATGCCGATCACATCTGGATACGGGTGTATCCTGGAGGAAATCAAGGATGGAAAAAGAAATAAGCACATCTGTGGCTTTGGTTAGAAGACCTTGGCTTACAAGACATCAACCACTGAGACCTACCCGCCGCGCCGTGGTACTTCAATCCCATGAGAAAATACAAAGAAAGACAAGTAGTTTTGCTGAAACTTAGATGAAAATATAAAAGACAATCGTGAGGATCATTTCACTTCGGTGTTTCCTATACACATCCCCCTGGGCCTGAATAAGCAAAAACGTACGTCGCTCGGGTTACCAATCCTTTTATTCATGCTCCTATCCCTTTAGTGCAAACGTACCCACGACTGTTCTTTGTTTTTTCATAAGAAGTGCGTCGGTTATCTTAAATTGACCTAATTGACCAACCGAAAATGCAAGTGTAATTGCTAGCAGTCGTGTCAAGAGATAACTGAATTTATTCTCCTAGTATTTTCTTAACATGTTTCGCTATAAGGGTTTAGCCCTGTGGCGTAGTCAGGTCAGTACTATATCTGAGGCGGTAACGCCGGGTTTTCATACATATACTTGCAGTATTATTTTTGTCAGCTTATGTAACACATCTCAGAGTTTCGAACGTTCTTTAGTTCAATTCTAGGTACAATATTGTAAAGCGCTGATGAAATCAAGTTGGTAACATTTGGAATTTTGATTTCTGTCACATAAACTGATAATGTTTCAATGGAAATGTTTAACTGAAAAACCAAAATACTAGCAGTTAATCTATTTTTCCAATTAATAAGCACCATTCAAGCTCAAAAGGTGTTGATATTGATTAAATACAAAATAATTAAAAAATTCGAGTCTGGCCCATTAATTTTCAACCGTTTGGCTAGTCACACAAAATTTCATTGAAATCGGTTAAATAATGCCTACGTTATGTGATACTGAATATGATAAAATTGATAAATAACCCTGTACATCCGTAAAAACTAAGTTTAGGACTTTTTCATTTTCTGACGTGAAAATATCTCGGTCCATACTACCTACCTGGTATTACACTATGTCCAATTTACCTACTACCTCCGAAATCTATACCCGTGAAATAACAAATAAAGACATAAATATTGTATATCACAATTACTGTACATGCACGTTTGACCTGGAATCGTTCACTATTCACTCAAACAACAAGGTGGTGGTTCTGGTACAAGATAAGAAAGAACTGAAAAACACCTTACAGCAAGCGGACTCCTCCAACTCAACTTTATCGACGGCATAGTAATTTTAATCAAGAAGTTATATAAACTACTATTTTGAATTCAGAATTGACTAACAATGCCGTAATAACCAAAACAAAAATTCACTCTCCAATAAGCAATTGCTTTTTGGAATCAGCATCAACCATGGGTCTGGGGAGGATAATTACCACTATTACCCCACTTGGCTACGCGCATGTATGGTGCAAGAAACTAGCAAAACCGCTCGATCATGGGTTATTGTAGGAGGCAGATTTCCATGTAGCCAGAATATCAGATGACATCATACCATGTATGTGATGTTATTGCTTAGTTGTTCTATACCTTTTAGGTGACGGCAATCTTCATCTCCAAATAGAAGTGAACGAGATGAGCAAAGAGGTCAGAGATCACGTTGAACCGAATGTCTTCGAGAGAGTGAAGCAAATGAATGGTAGTATCAGCGCTGAACACGGAATGGGATTTTTGAAAGCCAACTATTTGAGTTTTGCAAATCCACCCAGCAAAGTGGAAATGATGCGGAATTTGAAAAGTATGCTCGACCCAAAAGGGATTTTGAATCCTTACAAAGTGTTTCCTTGGACATACTCGTAAAATGTATGTTTTGTTTGTTTGAAAATAAAGTCATTATGATTACAAATCAGGAAAATTCCTCCATTTATATACTTGTATAATTAATAATAAAAAATGAGAATTCTAGATTTAAAATAAATGCGATTGATTGTCTGATGTGTTTGAAAAATTCACTGTATATGTTATTATAATTTATATATTGATTAAAAACTATTGTTATAAAATCTTCATCTTCAATTTGTTTCCACAAGTAACATACTGAATTACAATAGTGGTGCCCCACAAGAACGTGGAATGGGACGGATTTGTATGACTTTGTAAAGTGTGGTAGTTTAAGTCTCACCGCCAGGTGAACAGCTCCCCGTGGTTGTACACGTGGTCTGAATAGTTCCACTTTTTGTGGCCTATAATGGTACAAAAAAACGATGTCCCGTTAGGAGTTTTCCCCAGCAATTGAATGGTGACTTAGAATTTTATCTCGACCATGACCTTTCAGGTTTCAAAGTGGATTTTTAACACGCTTTTCTAAGCTTGGTCTGTATGTATATATGTAACAATCTTTGAGCATAATTTTCACCAATTCCCAGAAGTTTGATTAACTTGAAACTTCGCACACGTATCAAGGACCAATGACAATACAATTATTTGATAACGATTTTCCATTATCCTTATTAGGACCGCCACGATTGATAAATTCTTTTATAGATCTTCTGTAGGGAGTGAGAAAGAGCTAGCGCGTTTTCTGCGCATGCGTGCGGACTTACTCTTCGTTGGTTCGGGCACTCGGCACAGCACAACGCAGGCAGATACTTTTGCAAGGTAGTGCATTCTCACTTTGTTCATTGCGAATGTTGCCATTAATCCTGAATTGGGCTTTGACCGTCCACAAGATGCAAGGTTGTACAGTCGAACATTTATCTAAGCTCGCGTCTGTTTGTTGCTGGACAAGCTTATGTAGCACTTAGTCGTGTAAGATCTGTAGACGATATTCGGATTGATGAAATTGATTGCCCTAAGTTAACAGGAAAACCCCGTGCAACAGTGAAGCTTTAACTGAAATGATTTGATTACGAACTGATTCTTAAGACATTTCAAATACCACATGTCCACCAAAAACGAATGGATAAATCGAACTAAAAAATGAAAAATAAATAATAGTTTAAAGAACTTACAAAACACGCTTTTATAGCTAACCGAACTAAAAAGTAGAAAATAATTTTTAATTAGAAAGAATTTATATTACAGTAGTAGATAGTCGAACAATCAATCATAATTAATGACCTCAGGATAAAATTATAATAAAATATAAGTTAACAGAATAATTCAATTCAGTAAAAAGCGTGGGGTGCATTTTACTACATTTGAGGACATTAATTATGATTGATTGTTCGACCATAATATAAACTCTATGTAATTAAAAATTATTTACTACTTTTTACTTTGGTTAGCTATAAAAGCGTGTTTTTTTAGTTTTTCTAAACTATTATTTATTTTAAATGACACATCCCATTTTCGATCCGTAAAAAAAGAGCTGAAAATTTTATGTCCAAATATGGTCTTGACCATTCTTAAGTTTGGACCTTAAGAGGTCATGGTCAAACCCAGGTACTGCCATATGTCTTGAAAACCAGTCTCGAATTGAGAAACTACCAAGACATTATTTTCATCATTTTTTCCCTGATATCCAATGATGACCTTTTATCTGACCTTAACCTAAAGTTAGCCAGTTAAATATGTTTGACCTTGATGGTCAAGTTCAAGGTCAAGTTCTAAAAGTGGTCAAGGACATATTCGAACATACAATTTTCTCTTTTCTCCATTTTCGCACCGATTTTCGCGGTCAAAAGTATAGGGTGTCATTAAAAAAGAGTTGACCTTCAAATGACCTTGAAAGTCGTTAAGAAGGTCAGATCCAAAGTCACCATTGGATATCCTGAGAAAATCAAAAAATAAGGTCTGTGAACTACTGGCCTTGAAGTTTTGACATTTACGGGGTCGACGGACACGATCAAGGTCAAATTCACAAATTCAAGGTCACCATTCTATAGCTGGGGAAAACGGTTATCAATCGGTTGGCTTCGTTTTTCCTACTATTATTAGCTCACAAATTATCGTGGAGTTCGGGAACTTTTCAGATACCCCGTATAATGTATTTGGTTGTGTGAAAAGCTGAATATTGTATATGAACACAGATGGTGTAGAACATTATAATCAAGTACAAACTCCGAAAATGGAAAAGAATGGCTTCACTGGGAAGCTTGCAACAGTTGTATTTAGTCTTTCCAAAATAATAGGACTACGATTTTATTGGTGGAACAATTTCGTAACCTTTCTCCTTAACTACGAACACCTAAGGAAGTGAGCGACAATCAAAAATACGTTCAACATTTTACTACAAGATAATACAACAGATCATAAACGTTTAAATAGTGCATCCACATAACCACAAGCATAAAAATATTGTTGAATGCGAATATTGAATGAATGGGCGCCCGCAAGGGGAAACCAAGGGGGAATTCAGTAAGACCTTAAAATGTCCATAATTACCATGATTTTGTGCAACATTTTGAGGATTTGCCTCCCCCCTGAGAAAAATTCCTGCTGGCGCCCATGAGTATTCATAAACAATAACAGCTATACAGTATGATAGGAGTGATAATGTTTCAAAAATTCAAATGAATAACAAAAGTCATGTATGCAAAATATCTCTAGTTGCAGTTTGAATTTGGCCAAAAACTGGTCCAAATCCAAGATCTCCATTTATAACATGGACTCCAGGGCTTGACATGTTCTTATAAGCTTGGATCACGCTGAAAAAATACAGCATATTTACTAAATGCATTGATCCTTTACTGCTTAATAATATTCATAAAATAAAATAATGGCAATGAGTAAACAAAGATCAAAGCTTTAAAAGGTCTTTTGTGGCAGCTTCTATCAAACGGAATTTGGGTTCAAAGTCCAGGTCCGCATTTATGAAATGCACTCCAGGGTTATACATGTTTCTAAAGGCCTGAATGACGCTGCAACAAATATTAAATGTAAAGATAGCAATGAGAGCGTTCTCAAATCGATCAATTCAAATATATTATAGTTTTAGTCACCGTTCTTGGCGGTTATGTCGTCAACGCCATATGGAATAAGTAAACAGATCGAGTCTCCATGGGCGGAACACTGCGCAGAGCTTCAGCGCATCTACTACTCTCTCCAGTACCCATGGAGTGGGTAACAGTGGACCGCTGGTTTCATTCTCTTCCTGAAAATACTCTAATAGACTTAGCACGAGCTGTCGGCCTTCTCCATCGATCGTATTTCTGGGCATTGTACAATTTTATATTGAAGATTGATAACAGGACAACTCGGACTGCCGATGTCAACAAGTAAGTTGTCACTTCGACAAATATGATTGAAGGTCACTCATACGTAACGACAAAGTTTTCGAGACCAAGACACACAACTAAAAAACGTATGTCTTTGAGCTTATCGAACAAACGTTTACACATAGCGGTAGGTTGCAGGTGTATGTATGAGGGAGATGGAGATATATAAAGGGATGCTGGTAGTCTTACTTTGACCAGCCAAGAACGGTGACAACAACTGTAGTTTCGTTCATTAATATTAATTTGTCAAATATCGGAACAAGTTTTGGAAAATTGTATTGGACTTATAGTTTCTATTTATTCGCCTCAGCAAAACTGTACACTAATAGATACTCACTTTTGTCTGAATTTCAAGTCAGAGTTCAGCATATCTTCTTGTACAGTTATATTCGTTCTTCTTGACTGCCGTTGTTTACGAACTTCTTCGCTAACATTTAGGAATATCACTATATCAGGTTTGAATAAATCTTCAGGCCATTTGTAAATAGGATCACCCTCTGCAGGCATGGGATATTCAGGATGATCTTGAACGTATTGGGCGATCGCATAAGCTGCCGTGGAATGCCAGTATCTGAAATAAGAAACTACTTCTAAAGATCTTTTCATCAAGCGTGGAACTTCAACACGTTTTTCTGATGCGTTTTCCGCGTAACTTTGGCAAACCTATACAAGTAAAACAACATGAAGTGAAAAAGTACCTGCAAGGAATTTGATCAATAGTACAATCTTTTATTGACAGTTATGTATGAAGGATGGCATCATATCACATAAATGTTCGCCTCTCGAAGCTGCACAGACCTAAGGCCTATTGATTGCGTTTTTTACCTTCGCAATATATTCATCCTTTCTCTGGTTGTGCAATACATTGCTCCATCCTACAGGACCCAGATTTGGTAGCAGATAAATATAGGATACTAAAGTGGATAAAAATGCATCACTATTTAAATTTCGCACATAAGATACTGCTAACTTCAAAGCCTCTTTGTTTAGTGAAAAAAATCCTTCAACTACGGTATAGGTACATGATAAATGTTTGAGAAAAAAGAATGTTGATATATTACAATGCTGCTCAAGCGTAGTTTCACATACAGTATTGTCCGATATAATGCAATTTCTGAAACTTATAAAAAATGTTCACTTCCTGTTTTCTGCAAAGAAACTTGTTCCATTCGCCATGATTACTGAGACCTAATCATTCCAAGTTTGTATTCCTAAATCCGCCCATGACTTTGTGATTTCTATACAGGGTGTCCGCAAAGTTGGGGTTTTCCTTTACACGACGTGTAGATCTTGAAAACATAAGCAATTTTTCTTAGTACCATATACACCAATGTCTTAAGGGAACCGAGATAAAGAGCTCTGCAACATCAAAAATATCTGAATACCGTCCTGTAGCCGCGACCCGCCGGGATATCCCCGACACCCCGACTGGTACAAAGTCTCAACCCGACGGCAGAACTGGGTCGGGGTCAGTGTGTCAGGTTAGTATGCAACCTTCAACCGACGGTTACAGTCACGCGTCTAGAGGTAAACGAACTCGTATAATCGATTGCGTTTCAAAAAACAACAAGCACTAGAGACGTGGCTAGAGAAGTGCAAGTATCAAAAACTAAAGTGTGGCAAACGCTGCGTGAAGAAGGGCTGTATCCGTTTCACGTCCAACGTGTACAAGCCCTTCAACCTGACGATTTTCCAGCAAGAGTGCGATTTTGTGAGTGGTTGTTGCATCAACATGACAATAATCCGGACTTTTTGAAGTGCATATTGGTGACAGACGAATCTACGTTCACGCGTAATGGGGTGAATAACTTTCGCAACACTCATGTTTGGTCATTTTCAACAAACATTTTCGGTGAATGTTTGGGCTCGCATGGTGAACGGTATGCTCATTGGACCATTTATTCTTCTAAATCGATTGGACGGGATGCAATACCTAGACTTTTCACGCAACATTTTGCCTTCCTTGTTAGAAGATGTGCCATTAAGTGTAAGACAATCAATGTGGTTTCTGCGTCTGCGCGGTAGCGCTTCAGCTGATTTCATTTTCTGTTGGAGCGGTATGATTTCGGGCAGAGACGTACTTAGCCCTTCTCGTCAACTGGAGAGTGAGTACTTTTTCCTTTATTTTTTTTTACTTGGTCGCCCTCGTTTCACTACACATTACCTTTGTTATTTCAAGGGTAGTTGTTTCTGAAAAGGAAAACCCCAACTTTGCGGACACCCTGTATAGAAAAATTGTAAATGTTTTGCGAAGAACATTTTTAGGGTCTAATCTGCCAGTTGGCGTTGCAATCTGAGCTCTAACATTACCTACCAGTGATGGAAGGCATATGTTAAGAGGGCTAAAAATTGAGCTGCTTCCAGAGACGAATGTTTATACGATATCATTTTTCATACATAACTCTTAATTTTATAATGAAAGTTTAAGAGCCCGCGCAGACAGAAGGCGGTCAGGCATTCCGAGTTCAGAGTTCTGCGTTATTTGTAATATGTACTGCCTTTAAATGACCACTACGGTCTGACTACCAGTAGTGGGTGTTGTTACTTAAGGAAGTACATATTACAAAGAACGTAGAACTCGGAACGCCTGACCGCCTTCTGTCTGAGCGGGCTCTAAGATATGAATATCATGAACAACCTCTCCATCCTGAAAAATTGACTGTTTGGTGCGGTTTATGGGCTGGTGGCATCGTTGGACCACACTTCTTTGAAGATGCCGAAGAAAAGTCCATTACCGTCAACGGGGAACGTTATCGCGGCATGTTGACAGACTTTTTGTGGCCACAATTGGATCGTATTGGTGCCGACGATCTTTGGTTTCATCAATACGGAGCAACGGTTCACACATCTCGCCAAACAATCGCCTTATTGCACACGAAATTTCAAGACCGCATAATTACACGAAATTCAGATGTCAGTTGGCACCCGAGATCGTGCGATTTAACACCTCTTGACTATTTTCTTTGGGGATTTTTGAAATGAAAAGTGTGTACGAATGGTCCCCGGACAATTCAAGACCTAAAGCGCAATATTCGGACTGAAATTGCGGCCAAAGACCCGATTATTCTGGGAAAAGTCATTGAACATTTTGATGTTCGGATGTTGGCCTGTAAACGAAGCCGCGGTGGTCACATGACTATTGTTATTTTTTATACATAAATGCCATAAACCAACCTTCATGTATCAATACAAAAATTAAAAATAGATGACGTATATTGGAAACCTTTGTGCGCTTTCTTACCTGTCCATTAGAACTGGAGAATATTTCAACAGAGACTGGACCTCATAAGCAGCTATGTAGTTCCCTAACGAATAGTAGGCTGTGCGCAAAACTGGGTGGTTATCAAACAAATGCCTGATGTGTCCGATGGATTCTGGAGGAGTCTTCCAGGTCTGTGCGTTGATTTTCTTAGAAAATCGTTTACCGACAGTAGTCTTGCCTTGAAAGTTAAAATATCAAGCAATGCCTTAATTTTTAACTTTTGAAACGGCTTTCCAGATATAAACGAAAACCCTTTGTGAATACCCGGGACACTCGAGCATCACATTGATGAGTTGAAAAAACACGCATTATAACGCGCACACTGCTTGCTGTACAGATTGTTCCATCTTCACAAGTAAAACGCGCGTTTTTCTGCTGTGCATATCGATTTAAGGCTCATGTCTCCCGGCACTTAATCAAATCGTAAGTCATATCCGTGATCTTGAATTGAATCTCTATACTATTTTTTTCATTGTTGAAGACCTATTCATGATATACACGGTGCTGAAGAACGATATTCGTAATATTCACATTTAGCAGGTAAAATTATGAAGAAACTTCCATATAAATATGGGTCCGGGAATTCCTCGTTACCGGGAGAGTTGATCCGTACAGCGAAATATTACACGCCGCTGATACTGGCTCTGCTTTTGAAACGAATCTCTTGGAATTTTTCTATTTTCGTTAAAAGTGCCAGCCTGATCACCATTTTTTATAGCAGTGCATCCAAAAGAAACACTCAATCAGGCATTATTAAATAAGGATTAATCTGGCTTCAAGCTACTATTTTCTTCTATAAAATTTAATGGCTATTATTTCTGTCGTTTTGGTAGTAACATTCTGTAATGCCCTATAACCCCATACGAGGTCTGTAAATTAAGTGATGCATACGGCAACGTAGCGTTAGACCTGTCAACACTGTGTGGCTTCAAAAGGAAGTTATTTTGAGCATGACAATATAAAATTGTAATTATATTTGAATAAAAAGAATTAAAAAAGTAGTCTCATCACTTAATTTACAGACTTCGTATACTAATATGATAAGATTTTACAAAGACGTTATTTTAATCTCACATTAAATTTAAATAAATCTACAACTCCTTTAAATATAAAAAAGCATGTTGAACATGCCAGAAAAGCCACCATGTTCAAAATATTCTAATGATTGTCAGATTAAAACGGCTGTGATGAATACACATTATATTTACTTAAACCAGGCAATATTTATTTACTCTACGAATACAGGTAATATAAAATGAGCAATTTATCCATAGAAGGACAACGCCTGTGGATGGATCAATTGTATGTTGAATTGCAATAGATTAAAAGGGAAAGACCAGAGAGTAAAAAAAAATATGATATTATTTGCAAGAATGATAGTATGGTGACTTGTAATGTCACGTATTCCTATTAAGGGGTGATAGATTAGGTCAAAAGCAACCGATCCTATCCAGAAGTTAACCATTTTTGGGTTTTTTGAATTTTATTTTTTATTCCGATTTCAGACGGTTAAATTTGAAATACAAAAAACTACATGTTTGATTTTGAGTTTTTTATTATCGTCGCATAGCGGACATTCCAATAGTTCATAATAAGTAATAAAATGTTGAAAACTTACAAAAGTTTTAAAATTACGCTTTTGAAATGTATGATTTTCTAATTTTTTTACTAACTTATTCGATAAAAATACAATTTTCTGTAAAAAATCACCTAGTAATAAAATGTGCAAATTATGTAAATAATATCTCTATCTAACAAGCTTTCATTTGAGGTAAAGAAGTTACAACTAACTCAAGTACAAAGACATAAAATTAAAAAAAGATGAGTAAAGTTGTACGAACGATAATTACGTACGATAAATAAAAGGCTTTTATTTTAATTACAGTTTTATTTAATTACATTTCCTTTAGTATTTTACAGATTCTGCTCAAATTGTAATCCCCTCTTACGAATACACGCCCGCATTCTCTTACGTAATTCACTTTTGGTAACTCTAGCTGTTAAGCGGCTTTTTATTTGGTCAGCTGCACTGATTATCCTTGTAATTAATTCATCGCGCGTTGGTACGGGCGAAACATCGTACACCAGGCTTTTCGTATCTCCCCACACATATTAATCCATCGGTGTGAGATCTGTGCTTCTTGCTGGCCAGGCAATGGGCCCGCCTCTGCCAATCCATTGATGTGGAAATTTAAGAGTCTAAATACGCCCGTACTAATCTACTGTAGTGTGCGGGACAGCCGTCGAGCTGGAGCCGCATACTTTGTCTCGTCGCCAATGGGACGTCTTCCATTAATGGAAGCAAGTGATTTTTCAAGAACTCTTCATACACTTCTCCATTTAAATTGGCGGGCAGAAAATGAGGTCCAATTAAATATCCCCATCCACACATTGACTGAAAACCGGCTCTGAGACCCCGTCGGTCTTGTTTTTCGGGGGTTTAAAGCTTCTTTATAAGCCCAGTAATGAGCATTATGGTAGTTAGTGATCCCGTCCTTATCAAACTTCGATTCATCGGTCCACAGAATTTTCTTAAAACAGTCTGGATCTTCTGTATCTGCATGTAACATGTACCTGCAGAAATCTAATCGTCTTGTAGGATCGCCTTTTCAATCACATGCACAGGCGTGTAGTGATAAGGGTATAATCTTGCAGTATGCACAGTAAACCATACTTTGTATTGTGATATACCCAACTGAGCAGCCACAATGCGCGTAGACGTAGTAGGGTAGTAAGATCTTCCTGAAACACACGAAGGATTTCCTCTTCATCTTCAGAAGGATAGACTCGGGGTCAACCAGCATCACTATGTTGCCTTTGAGTACGTCCGGTTTGGCGGATGCGCCGATACACAGAGTCAAACACAGTAACATGAGGTGTTCGGCGATTCGGGAAACCTTGCCGATATTCACGGCGGACAGCTGCAGAATCGCCGTTACAAAGTCCATAACAGAACATTATGTCTGCGTATTCTTCATTTGTAAAAGTTTGCCCGTGCTCGCTATGGCGAGGTCCTGGCGGATCTTCTGCGTCTGCCATGATGATAAAGAAACCACTCGAAATGAACTGGGGAAACTCGAAAATAATAATCGTGCGTAAAACGTGTGCGCGTACGCAGTAGTTGATACCAACTAGACCTAATTCTCACTCGGCGTGTGGCGATGGCGTAACTAGTCAGCTCTTCTCGCTCGATTCCTCGTCGAGCCGATGCCATAAAACAATCATGCATGCGAGTCCTTTGAGGACAGTAACGACTTGTTCAAACAGGGAAACAGGTAATACAAATTCCTTAAAAATCCAGCCTCTGTGGGTGTCATTGTTGTTTCTCTGCATGTACTTCAGATAATTCAACGCTTAATACCTCAAATGAAAGCTTGTTAGATAGAGATATTATTTACATAATTTGCACATTTCATTACTAGGAGATTTTTTACAGAAAATTGCATTTCTTAGCGAATAAGTTAGTAAAAAAATAAAATGATACATTTAAAAAGCGTAATTTTAAAACGTTTGTAGCTTTTCAATATTACTTATTATGAACTATTGGAATGTCTGCTATGGGACGATAACAAAATTGTACCTTGTGATAGACCACTTTTAACAAACATTTCTTTACTATATGAATTTAATATTTCATATTTTTACTCTATAAAGCAACACGTACCTGAACCATCTAAACCTTCTAGCACAATCAAGGGATGCTTCTTATTTTCATCTGCAATATCCTGGTGTTGCAGTTTGGTACTGAGGAATATCTCCATTAATTCAGAGACACCTTTGACTTTTTTATTCTGAAAGCAGTGGAAAATTTGTTTTATACCGCAGGACTTATACCGGACGTTTGTAATTCATCAACGGAAAAATCGACACAGTCAGTTAGACTGGACTGAAGTGATGCATTACGTAACAAATAATATTTAACACGTTTTAAAAAACGGCATATTCTGGCGATAGATAAATGATTTTTGTCGATGACGCTCCAGTTTTTCCCTATCAATTTCAAAATACGATCGCTATTTTTTAGTGGCAGAATTAAATTTTAAATTTAACGTTTTACTTTTCACGCCTACTGGCGAATAATTCATACTTTTTTATGTTTTATGTTATTTACATTACGAAAAACCATGCCATTAATTTCCGTCAGTCTGTCTGTCCGCTAAACATTGGCCCATCTATAACTTGGAAAGTACTTCTCGGATTTGGATGAAACTTTTACACAGGGTTAGTACAAGATCAAGGACGAAAAAGCTTTGTAGTTTTTGAAAATCGGCCGAGTTACGGCGGAGAACCAGACCAGAAACAACAAAAAAATAGGGAGTAATCTTAGATGAAGCGCTAAACGGGAATCAGAGTCCTTAAGAAAGCAAGGTTCTCGTTGCAGAGCTGTCGAAGGGTCTGTGGAAAGAATTGGGGAATGAAGCCTTAGCAAATGTTTTGGCATTATACCGCGGTCATTAGACCTATGATAACCTATAGATCTGTGGCTTGGTGGGGCAACGTACTGCCTAGGCTAAAGTAAGCGCACTGCAGAGAGAAACTTACATATTGATTACTATCGAATGGTATAATGGACAATATCACTGTGGAGGAAACGAACATGTTGGTGGACATATAAAACCACCACAGTCTGGTAGCAGACTCACTGCTGCGGCTGAACAGGAACGGCCTTAGAGCTTTAGTCGGACTGTACACTGGTCATTGCAAATCGCGTCACTAAATGGACCTAAGATTATAAGTATATTGGGTTCATCCAAACACTCCAGAAAAACAAAAAAGTTTACCCGATTTTTTTTCCGTTTTTTGTCCATAGTTCTGAAGCCAACGTAATCGGTCAAGACCACGGTGTAGCATAAATGGATTAAAACGAAGAAAGTAAAAGTAAAAAAAAAAAACGTTACGACCCGCGGAGTGAAATTAGTTGCCGCAGTTGCACGTGAAGGGATATAAATCCCTATTATGCATAAGATACAAAATTCTACAACCGGCTAAAATAAAAAATGTAGAAGTATTAAAAGTAGGTCCAGTGGTCAACACAGATTAATGTGTATATAGCGGACGGTAAAGTTACAGTTGCAGAGCGATAATAATATTTCAAGAATGGAAGAGCAGGTTGGAGGTTGCTTATAACTCCCAAAATACAGCAACATGAAAAAAAGGTAGGCAGTACAGGGAGGCGGCGTATATGACCGAAGCCTGTGAGGTAAAAATCGTTGTAGTTGTAGGCTTTGAATTGAAGATCTACCCGACAAAACTCATCACTGGCAGTACTAGCACTGATGCCTGTTGCGGTAGTTCTCCTTTGCCATGGTTACACAGCGGTGAAAAATAGCTTGTATAGATGGTACCACAGGTTATCTCCTATTGCTCCTAACTTGCACAGCTCAGAAAGAATTCATAACACACACTTACATACTTATTGCTTGGATAGATGGCTAAATACAACAATTGTTCGTTGTATAGTCTCATAATCGAGCGTTTATTTAATCGTAACAAAATTTCTATCTCGACACTAGTATAATATTAATGCCACTGTGAACGGATACTTATCGTAACGAAAACTCTGCTACTCTGCCGTCGGCGCGCGTATTTATTTTCAAATCGACGAATCCAGAACTGCGATGCCGCGCTCAAACTCCAGCCTTCGTGAACCTCGGTAGATGGTAGTCAATGCGTGGCGAATTTTCTGGTCGATGGACGAGGGTGTCACACTGGTAACCAAAGTTCTTAGTCAGAAAAACAGGCCCATACATTTGATAACGCTAACGTTAGTTTCTTCCCTGCTCTTAGTATCGTCCATCTGGCAACGATGCTGAACCACACTAGACAACCAGCTCAACAGCGCCAGCCGCGATACTGTAACTCGAGAAGTGTTGCCGGAAATGAAATCTTATTTACCGAAATACCGAAAAAGTCTTCATTTTCCACGAATTTTGAAAATAATTCAGATATTTACAGATTTTTTACCCAAGAAGAGCTTGGACCAAAAATAAAGCTAAAGATGAATTATATTAGTCTATGTAGTTTTATGCCCCACACAGACTTACATAAGCGCACACTTGGGCAGTCGAGCGACGTAGATTTGGGTAGCCTATTGGTTTTTGTGTTTTTGTGTACAACAGGTACAGGCTGGTAGATTACCGTCATTATCGCATCACCGGACGTCAATAAGAAAACCACAGCTCGCCTCTATTTAATTGAATATTAAATTAAAATGTCAGGTGATGAGGGACCAATGCCTTCAAAAAAGACTGTGTTGTGTATGTGCGCGTAATACAAAAAATACTACATTCATGACTGATCTTGTGACTGCCCCGATTTTTTCCTCTCACCGATTTTGACGTTTAATCTACCGAATTTTAACGACCTCTACAGATTTCGTTTTTTTTTCTTTCGTTTAACCAAAACTACCTGTCAGCGTCAGTCCGATGAAGAGAGTGCTCAACGTATGAAGATTGCATCCCTCACGGGTATTATGTAAAAAACCTATAAAACGTCATCTTGCAGACTAGGTAGTTTTTAGGGTGCAAACAGTCATTCCCCGTTTGCTCACTAGGATCGTTGTGAGCGTCCATCTATGGAGGAATGGCTCAACTACACGTCTACATGCATTGTTGGTTGCATATGTTTTGTGAAGCCGAGTAGTCTATAGTTTGATCTCTGAGAAGAAAGTTGGTTTAATAGAGAAAAAATCATTATTGAACATGCTGCCAATGAAGTATATCTAGTAGCTGTACCCGACGGGTTATTTATATGTTGTCCTTTCTGAAGACAGGTTATGTTCAAAGTTATAAATTACGATTTTTTTCATTTTGTGTTTTCAAAAACTTTGAGGAGAATCACGGGAAATCACCACCGCGCCCGCGTTTTGTGTAATTACTGTTAGCATGTATATGACTTGTAATTCGACATGTACAGTCTCCAGTAATGCCATCTCTGAAGCAGATTTTACATCACATGAGAGCCAAATATTGATAACTGAAACATAACTACGTTTAGGCAACACGTACAACTACAAAACGAGTTCACAAATGTGTCCATCCGCTAGTGCTAAGTTAAGATCTTGTCGAAAAATCTACATAATGTCAAAAAAAAAACAGTATAACGTCAAAAAAATCGATATAACGTCACTTTTCAAGATATGTAATACCCGTGCCGGCCGACCGCGAGGGCAAATGTATGGGGAAATCTATGTATGAAATATGTACTGACAGGAACGTAAAATTACTGCGGTTGAAATCTATGTGTGAAATATGTACTGCATATAAATGTACTGCAGCAAAAAAAATTAAAAATATCCTCTCCCACCCCAACCGATTTTCAACCCCTACAAATATTTTCCTGAAAATGATCAGGAGACTTTGGAACATCAAAAAACGAAGTTTGAGAGATTATTATTTCGTTTTAGGTGTTTTTGGTCTTAGCTCCACTGCCCCTTAAAAACTGCATAACTTTTTCGTGCTTAACATATAGTAGTAACCTTAAGAGAAATTTTCATCCAAATCCGAGCAGTACTTTCCAAGTTATAGGTGGTCCGAATTAGCACAGAGACCGACGGAAATGATTGACATGGTTTTTCGTGATGTCATATGTCATATAACATCCAAAAAACATCTCATTTTCGAAATTTTTCGCGGTTACAATACTTCCCTGGCCAATAGGCATTGGAAGTAAAATCATATTTCATCAACACATTTGTCTTTTTGATATGTGGCATATCAAAAATATGATTATACCAGTTTGTAGACCCGCGAATTTCAAGTTTTCTGATTCATCACTACAACAGCAAAGAATTTCCAACAAGCAATTAGGTTGCCAGTTCACAGCAAATTAAGTTTTCAAAATGTCTCTTCCAAAAAAGTAAAACACACTTGCTTAGGTGGATTTGTGGATTTGAGAAAGAAATCAGTTGGCAAGTTGGATTTCTTCATGAACTGAGTTCATGGCCAAATTCCAAAAGTATAAAATATGAATTCGGCGGCAAATAAATCCAAGTTCTTCGTGGGTTTCTTCACGCAATTAGAGCTTGTTCTAATTTTTTCCAAGTCTGATGTCAAACTACAAGGTGTCAACCTTGTTTCCGAGTTGCTTTGATAGAATTGTAGTGCTCAACAATATCATTTATGTTTGTGAGATTTCCCAAAATCAAAACTACAATACATATAAAAATTCGAAATGGTTCTAGCAAGAATTTGTTGGGTGGTTGGCAGCACTTGTGTACTGTCGGATAATCCATGAATTTGTTCATTAATGTAAATAAACACCACAAAACAATAATCAGGATAACCTGGAAGGAATCCATCGCAATAATAAACTGAATAAATTGTGAACCATGGAGTATATATATACTTACCAGGAGAAACTACAGTAATGCTGTTCATGTTGTGAAAATGAGTCCGATACTTGATACCTGAAGTACAAGTGGTGCTTTGATAGGGTTGCCATGTTGGAGGATTTTAACTTGGAGAGTTGTTTGGGGATATAATGTCCTGGAGGAAATCGCACGTTTCGCGGATATAAAGCATCCCCACGCTCTCTGAATCAAACCTACCCATTTCCCAATTTATTTGGGGGATTTTTTTAAAAGTAGCTATTTTGAGGGAATTTTTTTGTTTGTTCTGAGGAAACTATGTTCGATCAATCTTGCAATACCGTGCTTTGACAGATCTGCCATATGAACACTGTCGTACTATATTATCGGGCCGCTTGAATCTGCGGGCATGTTTTTTATAAAACTATAGGTAATAGTAGAGTGGATTAAAGCAGGGTTTCTTTTGCTACTCAACCCTGCTGTAATCTGTTCCATTATTCATTGGATCATTGCGTACTCCGACGCTCCGCCCTCAGTCAAGCGTTTTGAGGTAGTTTTTTTTCTCATTTCGCCGGTTTCAAACTACATGCAATAACCCCCAAATACGAAGTTATGGTATGTGCATGCATTCCATACCTGTATCGATGATAAACTATGTTCAATAGCATTAGTTACCTCTGGGTCATCAAATACGTCCAAAATTGACTTCAAATTCTTGTAAAGCAGTGGTCGGTTTTGGTCACCCATTTTCACAGTTTCTTCGTAATTAAAATAACAGTTCTTCCTAACTCCACTGAAATACGCTTCGGAATGACGTGTTGCAACTGTTCCAAGTCCAATCAGTTGTCGGTGACTCACCCAAAAACAAAATTTCATGGCTGCCAACGTGTTATGTCCATGTCAATTTTCCCCTAAATTTCCCAATTCTAAAAAACAACAACTAAAAAAGGAAAAAGTATAATCCATAATCATCAGATTGGTCTTCCTTTTATTTCAGTATGCTCTGTCATACCGAAACAGTCTATAAACAAAGTAGATTATAAGCAAAGGGGTTTCACAAGCCTTATAGTGATTTTTTGTCTATCAAATTTTCTGCTGGTACGGCGTTTGTTGAAAGTACTAAAACTAAACACAGACCACAGACAGTACAGACACAGTTCACAGAGGCGGAAATCGTGGACGGAAACAAAGGAGTGGCTTGTCAATATGTATTCTCTTTCTCCAATCGTACTGTAAAGCACAAAAAATCTATACTATCAAGTGTTGGAAACAAATATTATACGCTCATTATGCGTAGACTTTTTTGGAACTTACTAGATTATAATTTTACTTCTTGCGATCTATGCATCTAGTGATCCACCTCCACCACGAATGGAAAGCGTGAAACGTGCGTTCCTGTTCCTAGGCAAACGTCACATTTGACAATTTTGAAAGGTCATCTAACCACACTTTTTTGTTTTCGTTTTCACCGGTGTCTTCGACACTTATATATGTGATCTTTTACTCCTACGATATTTATTGTACTGGTTTCTTACACTAAATTGATGAAATAATAGCTACATGTAAAAATAAATGGACGACATGGAACATATAGTTGATCCACACTTCAAAGAAGACCCTCTTTATATGAAAAGTCTGATTGGCAAGGAGATAGAAGTAAAAACAGTGAACAAGAAAGCTTATAAAGGTTTCGTATACGTGATAGACCCAATTTTTAAAACTGTAGTACTACACTGTAATAGAAAATCTGAGAGTGAATATGACACAGTCATTATAATGCATCATGCCATTGAAACACTATGTGTGTTATCTGATGAAGTGAACCAGTGGTATTTACAGACCACTAAAGAAACAGTGAATAGTAATATAACTAGGAAGGATTCTGTGAAAAAATGGTTACAGCATATGCAGGTAATTGTAAATAATGCCTACTAACAACCAGAAATATTTGAGAATGTTTTGCATGATGGATTCAAGGTTCTATTGCAAATAAGATACTCATTTGTTGGGTATTTGTTGTTATGGTGATGTTCCAAAGTACTTATGTATTTCAACATACATTAAAAAATTGATATATCAAATTAAATTCATAAATATAACAATAACTAGGAAATGAACTTTGGAAGTACATCATGATCTTTGCATTGACTCATGTGTTTTGTTTTCTTTTGCTAGTAATTAAAACTGGTGTTTGAAAAGCTACCATTATCATAAAGCCAAAATAACACTGTAGAAAGAATTCATAAAAGTGTACCGAGTCATCTCCACTTTGGCATCCGGCAACTGCCAAGCAGTCATAGTGGTATATGTCAGTAAGGTTTGAACAGTGCTTGAAGCAAAATGGTGTAATTTACATACATCAATCATTGATGTATATACAACAGTTGTATTAAAAGTGTGGCACTATTGGTTAGCTATCTATTTTCTGACTGGTCGAATGAAAGTGTCTGAACTATCATCATTGAACAATAATAAATGTTAAAACTAGCCAAAAATTAAAAATGACCTGCACAGTGTTAGAACTTCACTGATGATAGGCTACATGTAGGTAGCTTGAATTATCAATTCATTTTTGGTCACTACATGACCACATGTTTATATTCTGCATCGGATTCTGAGAACACAGCAGCCAAATGTTGATATCTACACAACTAATATTTTTTGTCATCATGAATATTCAGGACTTCTTTCTTGTCAAGTTTGTAATTTTTGGAGTTATTTTTAACGCTCCTGATACTCCTGATACTAATCATAATAAATTTGTTGAGAATCCGAGTCACTATATGATCTTTTTCAATGATCAATTTTCAATTAGCAATGCAAAGTGCCTTAACAATACGAAAAAATATATTTTTTTAATATAAAATATGATCACTTATTATAGTCTAATAAATTGAAAAGTCTTTAGTCCTATGACCAATTTGTTATATTTCTCTCTAGATAAATGTAGCAGAAAGTGGGGATATCCTGAAAGTTGATGACCATCTTATAATTCTACCACCATATGAACTTGAGAACTGTGTATCCAATAACACAATTATATTAGAAAGAGTCAGAAACATACTCGACCAAATGCCACCTGATTCCACGTGAAACAATGTTTGTTATTCATTAAAGTTTATTTTTCAAGAAGTACTGTTTTTTTGTTTCTTATAACTGTATTATAAAATATACAATATGCATAATAAAACTTTGTTTATACAGAGCAAAATGTTTGAAAGAGGCTGCTTAGATGCATGTTCTGTATTTCGGAAAAAGCTATTTTAAATTTTCTCTTGGAGGTAAGGTTCGATTTTTATCTTGGATATTGATATATGCCAAAAGATCAAATTCAAGTAATAATAGTAAGAGTGAAAACACTCAAGATGTTCTTCTTGATGTCACAATATCAATATTCCGTCAAATTAAAATTTTCGCACTTTAATAATAACCATGTATCACTCAAGAGCGCCTGTTACTATTTTTGATGAAGTTAACCTGAAAAAACTGATTTTTCCTTTATACCCATCCAGCTACAGAAAATTTTGCAAAAAATGTACCCGTTTTTTTCAGCCAATGGTAAACTTCGCTTTTGCTTCGATTTCAGTTTTAATTTTAGTCCAGACAATGCAAATGCTAGCTGTTACTAATACAGTTGAATCAATTGGTTTAAAAACGTTTCATTTGTTTTAGCTATTGCACCATTTTCCACCTTATTTGGCGAGAATGTATTTTAATTAAGAAAATCTGAGTTCGAAATTGAGATTTATTTTTTTCGTTTATTTCAATGAAATATACATAAAAAACCATGTCACTCATTTTTGCTAGTCTTTCCGTTGGTCTATCTAACAACTAATCCCCTCTATATGAGTGGCCTACCAAGAGAATTCAAGACTAAATTAATATGATGGTAAAAATGTATCAAATTGACGGTCTCAGAAATTCTGTATGCTTGTAATGCTCTGCAATGTAATAGTAGTAGTATATTTTATTGGCATTTTACACAGAATGTGCTATGCAAGTCAAAAATTAGATAAATGTCTAATGCGTAGATAAAAGATGAGATCAGTTAAATAGAAACATTCACAATAACATATTAAAATTTTGAGGCGTTACATCACTAAGATTATTGTTGAGGTACCCCTCAAATGGGAAAAAACATTTGCTAATTAAATATTTTTAATCGTTCGCATAAATATGCTGTTATTTCGTAACACATTGAAAAAAATTATGCTGAAGTAATTCCGTCCATACTTTCAATATTGGGACTAAGCAGTACTACTCCATTTGAATATGGAACCAATTTGACCACGAAGGCAAGGGAGTACCTAGCTCGAAACGGAAGGCTTCAAAAATTTGTTTGGTAGAATTCCATAGAGCCTATCTAGTTTACTATGCTTGATATTTTTCCTTATATTTGCAATTCATTGTCTTATCGCTTTACACAGTCTACCACGATGGGATCTAAGCATCCATATGAATATGGAAAACTTTTTCGAAAATTTCATGCAAATATCGCTCGAGATGCTTTTTTAAGTAATAATTTAGTTGTTTGCAATACTTCGAAGCAACCTTCCAAATCTATGACGAATTTTTGCCATACTGTAAATTTTATAAACCTAGGTCTAAAATTCGGCATTTCTGAGTTATAAGATTTTTTCAAATTTTTGGGCGTACCTATCCCTCAACATTCATATAGGGTCCTCATGGATTCAGCCAAATCTATAAGCCTGCAGGGTTTTTACGTCAAAAACGTATATAATATCAACAAAACATTTCTTTAGATGAGACAAAATTTTGAAAAGAATCAAACTTCATATATTGTAAGACGTAGTCAAGAGTTTATTTGAAGGATTGAAAACCAGCAAAACCTGTTTTTGAAATTCTAATCTCCCAGTCACTTTTCTGTAACCCCAAATATAACAATAAGAGGTGTGGTTTTCTAAAATGTGTGGAGCGGAATCTGCGTTAAAAGATTAGGAAATTTTGCTATAGAAGAAATTGTATAAATTTACATGGGTGTTTCAAATTCGACTCTCACCAATGAAATCTCGAAATGGTAAGAGATACGAAGTCGGTTGAATGAGAGCAAAGTTGAGCATTTAGATAAATAAGAAAATCGCGCTTAGAGATTCGTAATTTAGAGCGTTTCTGTATATACACGATTGAAACCGAATTCAAAGAAAAATTACATTAAGATTGCCACTTTTGCTCCTCTACAGGATGACAACCAAAATTTCAACATGACGTTTTGTCTGCATCACCTTTATTTTATTTATTTCTCTTATTGACGTCAAATTAGAATAGAATAGAATTTTTGACTTGGAAAATGTGTTTGTATCTACAGGGAGATTGATAACTACGTAGTGACCAAACCATACGTTTTTTTAAACTGAAGGACCTATATTTTATTGCATATTTGGATATGCCTTTTTTCGCGAAGCAATTTGATTTAACACACTATAGGGTTTGATTTTGAAATTGTTGAGATATTGGACAATTTATTAAAAAAACTTTGACAACCCGCATGTCCTCAAGAGTTATAGCTAGAGTACTGGACTAATTTGGTGCTCCCATATTTTCTCCGTATCCAATTACTTTTTCAATTTTTGTGATAGTTCATACACGGTGACCAAGAACACAAAATGAACTAGTTCGCAAAATTGTCAAATGCTTGTCACAACCTTACTTTTGGTATCAGGTTTATGGGGGTTTGTACTTCAACTTGAAAAAATATATGGTTGGGTCACTATGTAGATATGATATTTCATAATTCAGGAGCATACTGCTGGCTACAATTTCTGTATTTAACTTTTTTACATGTCATGTCTAATAACGGAGTTATCGACTGTTCACCCTGTATTCTGCATATATTTGCTGTTAAATCTAATATGTTATGGTTTGCTTCCTACAAATGTGAAAGTTTCTTTTTTATACTCCAACTATCACGAAGGCCTAAGGCCTAAGCACCCATTGGGTACCGTGGGGTTATAGGGGGATACATGGGAAAGGGGGGACGCCACACGGACTCTGGCGAGGGAACACGTGAGCATGCAACATGCACACATTCTGGCTCCGCCTACGAGAACCGCCGGGTGGTACCTCCGCGTTCGACAGTCAGAGACCATCTACCACCTAAGGACAATCACAACATCCATAGCCAAGAGAAAAATTTCTCCTGGGACGGGACTCGAACCCGCACAGTGCACGGCGACTGATCAGGAGATCGAAGAGTCTACTACTGCGGCCACCGCTGCTGCCTGAAGAAACAAGAATGCACTTGGAGAGGATTTAGGTACATACGTGACTATACCTTTTCTTTTGAATAAACTTGATCCATTACTCCCCACACCTACTGGTGAGGAAGTACTGTAATCGCGGAAAAATCGAACATGAGATATTGTTTTTTTGGATGTTATAGGACATGTACATTAAGGAAAACCATGTCACTCATTTCTGTCGGTCGATCTATTGGTCTGTCTGTCTGTTCGCAAATCCTTGACCCGTCTGTAACTTGGAAAGTACCAGAAATATCTTTCTGAAATTCTCACACAAGGTTACTATTATTCCAACGAAAAAACGTTGTAGATTTTGAAGATATCGGTCCAGTGGCGGAGCAGAAAAAGGCCAAAAACGAAGAAAATGAAGATCGCTCAAACTTTGTTGTTTGACGTTTATGAGGATCCTTGCCATTTTTGGAAAAAAATTGGGTCTAAAAACTTGGCCGGTGGGGGGTTGTAGGGAGTGGAGGAGGATGCATCGCAATTTTTGATGTTAGTGTACTAATACACTTCCAACCCCGATAATTCTACGCACCTATTCATATTTAACACATCATAGATTGCCCCGTACATTTTCCGTTGGAACGATAAAAATGAGTTCGACAAACGTCCCTGCGTCAGCTGACAACGTCGTGCCGGTGTTCGTAGGGGAGACCTAGGAGAGTTCCTTCTGTTCTGTTTTCACAATCATTACCAAAATTAATTAAATCCATATAGTTTCTGAAAAAATCAACAAAATCAAAGACCACTCCCCCTGTCACAACTCTCCTACCACCGAGGTAAGTTGTGACAGGCCGCCGGCAGGTACTCATACTCAGTCGAGAGGTCGAGAGCGACAAACAAGCGTTGTTGCCGGCTCGCTAACTACAATAGGTAGGGAGAAATCGTCCTTGTCACGACTCACCTCTGTCACAACTCTCCTAGGTCTCCCCTATGTGTCATGCATCACCGGCATGATTTCAATGTCCATAGTGAGCTCTGGCTGGGCTCAAACAAGACCGATGCAGCAGGTGTGTTCTCCATTGTGCTTGTGATGAGCCCTATCCACGCATCCTGTTTCTTACAGAGCTGCTGTTCTGTCTTTCCTGGGAACTCAGACCTCAGTGTTCTGGGTTAGGTTTTGGACAGAACCATCTGTGACAGCAAAAACTCGCCCAGGCTGCAAAATTTGGCGTTACGGTCATGTCGACTGGATAGGGCTCAGAGACTTTTTCTCCACCTTTCCTTCGAGAGATGTTTGTTTTGCTGACCTGGATGCGTCGGCTATTTGTTCGTCAATACCTGAAATTATCCACATTTGGATGTAGGTATACGTACATCCCTCCTACAGTAAAAGTGCCTAAATCGAGATAAAACGGCTGGTTCAACAAATAATGGGACACTGCTCGTCATCAGAAGATCAAGGCACACATAACCTTTTTACAAAAACCCACTGTAGAGAACAAACAAGCCGATGCCGAGTCCGCAAACAAATTTAACGAAGCGGTCCGCAATGCCAAAGACCAGCACAATTTAAAAATAAGGCACAGGATAATGTAGCTAATACTCACATGTTAAGGGTGCTACCGCCTCGACTAAATTATCCATGCTAGATGGCGTTCAGAGGATCGAAGACTCTTTTCTGACAGTCTTGGTATCCTTTCTCACCGGCAGTTCTCTTCTACCGCTATGCCAACGGGTTTTGCTCCCCAGAGCTCTGCTCCATGATGCCGCCGCTCGATGTGCCTGTCAGATAGACCCGCCTCGGCTTTCCATCTCAACCGTGTCGAACTTCGTACATCCAGGACTGGCCGATACGACCCCTCCTTTATCCCTAGGGTATCGAGATTGTGGAACAATCTACATGAGGATGCGTTTCCTAGTTCTACTAGTCTTAGGCAGTTCGAAAATCGGACTAACAAAGTTTCTTTAAGCTCCTCATAGCAACCGCTGTGCCCGGCTTCTGCCTGCGACGGTGCTTCGATGTAAAGAGATTGCTCCACTTTTCGTTATAGCAGCTATTACTACAACATATTACTCCACATACAGAAATTATATTCAGTCTGTTAGAGAATCTGTTACAAGTAAGTTGACTCTATTACTCTACTATTACTTCTTTGGTCGATGTTTTTGAATAATAGTTATATGGCGTTAGGATTGGAAACAAACCGAACATCTATATCTAAATGATGATAGATTTGCGTGGGAAGGACAGTGTTGATTCACTTGATGCCATTTCTTTAAGTCAGGCTATGCGCTCAATGACTCGCAGCTGCTCCTTTATTTGGTTTATAGGCTTTCTTCACGAACTCGCAAATACCCTATCTATGCTAATCTTAAATAAACTGTTCGTAAACTGATAATATTGAAGCTATATAAAAGGCGGTTCATGATCCTATTTTAAACAATGTCAATAGTGTCGCGGTAAGAGCTGGAAGGTAAGTATCTCTTGTTTTATGATAGTATGTTGTTTCTCGAGAAAACAGTAAGAAGCCAAAATAGTTTAAGAATAAAAATCGATTCTCACCTCGCATGCTAGCTACTGATTTCGTCTTTTTTGGTTCGGCAACACTGTGCACTCGCGTGGCTCAGGAATCAAAAAACCTAACCACAAGTGCAAAAAATATGTACAGCTCGTCAAGTGTAGGAAGAGATGCGAATTAGACTAGTTACTACGCTTGACGAGCTGTAAAATCGTATATAGTGTCACGTTTTCAGTTGTATTTCGATGTTACAAAATTGATTGCGGAGTTGAGGGTATGAGGGACAGTTATTATTATTATTATTATTATTATAATTATTATTACGGCGTTGTATTACTTGCCATTCGACCCATGATACTATACGTCAACAGTATGTAATTATATATTTTTTCCGTTATTAATGAATCCAGAAAGAGTTTAAAAATGCCCATTAAAGTCCGCTCTATTTCTAACAATAGCATGTTTATCAGACACCCATTTATAGGAAATATGTCAATTTTGGCGCAGTTGACTGTTAGGTTTCGCAATTATGCGATATTATGCAGAGATTATATCTTGAAACATATAAAACTGTAACTGTAATTTGAAAGCAATCCACAGATTTTTTTGCAAACATAGCCGTATTACTGGATCCGCCATTAAGATTCTTTAAGAACTGATAATCCGTTATTAGCGCGATCAAAATATTTTTTGCAAACACGTAGCCGCCATATTAAAAACCGTTATTTCGATTTTTGAACAAGCGACATCAAGTTCTTATTAGCGACTCTGAAAACATCGGTGGAGTTCAATTAAAACATTTTTTGCAAAAATGTACACCATATTAAATCCGCCATTTTGATTTTGAACAAATAGATATCATATTCGTTATCTACAACCTGGAAAAGATAGAAAATGGTTTGTAGAATCTAGTGAATCTTTTCAATTTTGGCCTTTTTTGGTACTTTTAAACAACTGTGGAGCCGATCGCGTGAGGGTTTAATCATATGTCGTCGGGTTACTGCCAAAATCAGATAACTTACTTCTGAAATATGAGTATTTTAAACTTTGTTGTTAGATTAAAAATCAAACAAAGAAATTAAATATCTTTTTACTCACAAATTAAATTCTTAACGGAAGCCTTAACAAAAAAGTAATTAAAATAATCATAACATTTGGAAAACTACCTCACCTTAACAAAAAACACATTTTTTTCTTGCACTTTTATTTTTTTTGGCTGTATACATTTTTATACCTTAGCTATTTGACTCTTCCGATTCCGGTTCTTCTTAGGGATCAGAAAAGACTGCTGCTGGTCCTGGAATAAGATCCTTTGCTTCTTTGGAGGTCGGAAGCGACTTATAATAATAATGGTATACCTCAGGAATCTGTTATGTATCTGTTATTTTTATTTGGCTTGACTGTGTAGGTCGGCCTTTACCCAAAAAGTTTATTTCCATATAATCGGATGTATGATAGTAACTAAACTATAATATGCAAGGTTGATTTTAAGCCAATAAACCTTTTCGCCTGAGGTGTTCTTCAATTTATCTTTCATTAGAATTTTTGATGTTAAGTGCTTTATATCGACCACAATCTTACTAATTTTTATAATGTAATCTAAAACGTTTTTATATTGGGTAATTAACAAATAAATGGCATTAACTTTCATTAAATTAAATACTTAAAACACACATGACAACAGCGCGTCAATCTTCCATCACTCTTATCGAACCGGCAATCGATCGCAAACGGTAACAGTGGTTAGTTATCCTTTTGCATAGTTTTGCGGCGTTGTCAGATTTATTTTACTTTAAAGTCGCTTTTCTCTAAAAAAATTTCGTTTTGACCCCCATGTTATATGAAACTTTTTGTCTTCTAAACCCCTCTATCACCCATTTAAATAATGACTATCATAACGTTTAGACTCTATATAGGTAGATATTACAGACAAATTTTCAATGAAACTCAATTTTAAAAAATTTATATCAAACATGAGTTGCCGCATAACCTATGGAATTATTATCTGGGGATCCACGAATAACAACCATGTAAATACTTTAGAAATCATATAAATATTATTCATAAAAAGAATACATTATATACCTCCAAATCGCTGTTAATAGAATCAAAACTTTTGAATATAAAAAAAGTATTTTGGTATAATGTTATATTGGAAAACAAACATTCAACCATTTATAAAAATTGTGAATATGATATTAGAAATAAAAATAAACAGATAATTATTGCAATACCAAAAAAGGGAATAATGTTGAAATCATTTATATACATAGGTCCAAAATTATATCATATAGCCATGATGTAATTTATGGAAACACTAACATATAATAGTTATTTATCTAACAAGTGCGGAAAGTGATACTTTTCCGACGCGACGGCAATTGCATGAACGACGCGAAGTGGAGTTAGGGCGGGTCATCGAGGACGGAAAATACACTTTCGCAGATGCGTGTTGAAGGGAGTACTTTCCGCACGCTGGTAGAAAGATATATTTTCCGCATTACTAATCTCTGATACCAAATTAATGTATTACATTTATATTATATAGATTTTTTTTCTTATAGGTTTTTATCAATCATTTTGTGGTATATCAATAATTTATTCACAATTTATAATTGATGTGAATTATTATTGTTATTATTATTATCATCATATTGGATCCGCCATTTAAATTTTTTACAAATTTATATCATATTCGTTATCAGCGACATGTAGATGCAGTTTTTTGGTGAAATTTAGTGAATATGTTTGATTTTGGCTACGTTTAGGACTATCGATTGACTGATTGGTTATTTATGAAAATGTACCTATGTTGATCGTTAAATGAACAAATATCCACTAGTGTTCTTATTTTCAGAATTATCGTTAAGAGAAAGGGCTTGAAAGTCTTGAATAAGAGTTACCACCTCTGACCACTGGTCCGTCAACATGAGCAATCCAAATCCGACGTGTAGTTTTGATGCTAGCAGGTTAGAAACAAGCGCCGTCAAATGTGTTGTAAGTCCAACACCGTTCAACTGTATTGTGAAGCCATTAGTAACGGCAGGAACTGATCCTTGTTTTCAACAACACATGATGACGCAAGAACTAAATGATCCTTATTTTCAACATATGCCTAAAACTAGTGCTGCTGAAGCTACAATCTATGCAGCCAGAATGGGAGGACAGCATCACGAAATGAGTAAATGTGAAATCATGTAGTAAAACATTTTTGTCATGTAAGAATCAGAGTATGTACGTTGAAGTATCACTACATATTGTGAAATAAAGTTGCCCATTGCATCTGTTTGTCTGAACGCGATAAACTGAAAAAATTACAGAACCGATTTCCATACGTAATTCATGCGAATAGAGTAAGTTTATTATTATTTGGAGTTTTATGTAAATTTAAAAAAATATGACGATATTGATGATACGTAAATGCATTTTACATACACTGAGAAAACGTGGTCAATTAAACAGTTTTTCTGGTAGAGTTTCATACTGAATTTTTTGGAGCCTATTTAATTGAACTAGTTTGCTTGAAAATAGCAAACCATGAACCTGTTTTATTAAACTGTTCGGTTAGTTTAGGTAATTTAGTTTATCCAGAAAAGGTACATTTTTTTATACTCCAACCACCACGAAGGCCTAAGGCCTGAACACCCATACGTACCATGGGGCTATAGGAGGATGCAGCGGAAAAGAGGGGGCGCCACACAGACTCTATCGAGGGAACACGTGTACATGCAACATGCACACATTCTGGTCCCGCCTTAGAGATCCGCAGGGTGGTACCACCGCATTCGACAGTCAAAGACCTTCGCCACCTACGATTAGAATTTTAAATTTTGATAAAAACAGATGAACTGTTAATTATAGTCGGCCCTCGTATATTATCGGGAGTATGCGACATGTACAGTGCCAGAGACGCCCTTCGAATTCCTCAGTTTCATTTGTGATTTTCGTGATGAGCTTCATATTCGAATGTTGCCTTTGTCGGTGTAGTAGCTGTGAAGTGGAACAATTATGGTAATGATCAAGCGAAATATCAGAGCATAAGGCCCTTAGTTACCCATAAGCATGGATAGAATATTTCTCGTTCCCAATGAACTACTCTGTTTAGGGAAGTCACTGCTGACGTGACGGAATGGGAAGCACTTTAAAAATCAATTATGCTGCACTATTTAAGTCAACGAAGGGCATTTATACCAGATATATGCTTAACATAAGTTTGATATGCTATTCAATTCTAACAATAAGATATGGATATCGATGCATAGAATTTTTTTTGATCTCATAGTTTAAAGATAATACATACCTACTTTTACCTACGCCAATTAAACAAATTTAATAAATGTAATCAAATCGTTTCACTTGGAGCAGTTAAACTGATTTTGATTAATTTTAAATAAGTTAGTGTACTCGATCTAAGTAAACAGTCTAACAAATTCAATTGCGTTTTGATTTAATTAAACTAGTTTCATAGATTCAAGTAAATTGTTTTAGAAATTCAGAGATCAGTTAAACTAATTAAACTTGTTAGCTATCACATAGTTTTTAATTGGTTCAATTAAAATTTTAATAGATGTAATTGATTTTTTCTCAGTGTACCCCACAAAAAAGTTCGCAATGTTCTATGCAGCTATTATGCTTGAGTCCTATTAAGAGATTTTTATTCAAATCAATCAAGAATAAAAATATAATATTCGTAGCACTATATTCATGATCAAAGTTGTTTATATTATATATATATATATATATATATATATATATATATATATAGGTGAAAAATTAAAGCTTCCGCCTTTTGTTGGGTACTTCGGCAAAAATTTAAATAAGGAGGACTCTTTATACTTTTTTAATCTCTCTAGCTTTCAATGGTCTTTGCCATCATCATCAGGAGAGTAGTATGTGAGGGTGTTGCTAAATGATATTTACGTTAAGGATGAGGGGAACACTCAGTAACATGGTGAAAGCTGGATACATGGTACAATAGTCAAAATTATACAAACTACACACAGCTGAATGACAAGAACAAATTAAAAATAGATTAAAAATATTTAAAACGAAAGTTAAGCATTACATCGTGAAACCACTTGATGATTGCACAAAATGGTGGGCAATTTTTCATCTAACTGGTCTAGACGACAATGACCACGTCTCAAGTTATATATATAGGGTGAATTTGAAGTTGAGTCATTAATTTTCAGATAATGATTGTAGAAGGAAGATAAACCAAAATATGTGTGTAAAAATAAAAAAAAAATTAAAAAAAAATTTTACCTTGTTTTATAAAGTATCCTCCCGACAAGTATTTCAGTGCGGACCTGTATTTGATCGTGAGGTCTTGGAGCACCGGCATGCCGTCACCTGATTCACGAGCCTGTTGTACTACATTAACAAAGGCACGAGGGGTTGGTTGCACTCGATTGGGAAACCGATCCGCATAAACATGTGCCATTTTTTATTTCGTTTGAGCCACGCAGCAGACACCATATTCACTCACTGACTGTGTACAACTGAATGAAATAATTGTAAAAACATCGTTCCAAATTCTTTCGCTTTTTTGTTTCCGATGCGATGAACCGATAAGGCGGATTATATCCGTTGTCGCCAAACACGAGCACATAATATTATTATTGAGACAGGGCGGTACTCAAACTTCCAAAGGGCTATAACTTTGTTACTTTAATTTTACCAGAAAAATGGTAAAGGAAAAAAACATTTCTTTTGATCAGATCTACTCACTGTTAAAATAAATGACTCAACTTCGAAGTCACCCTGTATATATATATATATATATATATATAATCAATTGCGCTTTTCCCAAACATGGTGTCGGGTCATATTAAAATTTACTGTTCATCCACAAACTTGAGCCATTTTCTCAGGTAGCTAAAGCTAAGATAATGGCGCAAAGTTTCGCAATTCCGTGTATTTCCGCAGTCTGCAGAAATTGAGTTTTTCCAAAAACGCCTTTATTTTTTCTGACTTTAATTGAAATGGGATTCCAAAATAAAAGAAACATTAACATTGCCGGTTTATCTACAAAATGGCATAATTAGAATTTCATTATGATGTTTCGTCTCTGGTCCTCAGTTATCAGCTTTATTTTTAAATTTTTTTGTTCTTATTCCACAAATGTGTATGCCATACATTGACATTGTCAGGTTTAATTTATTTATCAAAAATCTTAATAGTTTCATAGTTGGCCTCGAAAATGAGTGAATCACATGTTTATCCCATGCGAATAAATTTTTACTATTAAAAAAAATAGTCAATGCGTCAGTTTGAGAGAAGCGTATTTAAAAGACATTTAAATAATTCGTTCATTTATTGACTATAACAAGCGTTATTTTAGCACGATGGAGCGCTATACATGGCACCTTAGCCGAAGATTAATAGTATTAGAATGCAGGATGTGTGCATCGGTTTAGATATGGCGGATATGAAATCTGCTCAGGGATCGGCGACATCGTCCAGGTTCTTATTTGCTCTACAAGGTTTTTATCTGTTACCTAAAATAAAACTGTTTTTAATACAAACTATGAATATAAAAAAATTTTGGACTAGGTTCTCATTCCTTCGATGAGTTAAGACCAAACATGGTAATATTGCTTTTTTAGATATTAAAATTTTTGTATGTTAAAATCGGAGATACGAACCTGAAATAAATGACCATCCAATTATTTCAAGGCCGACTTAGGAAATTTTATTTTCTTGAAAAAGCTAAGATTTGTCAATGTCACTGAAGCACAAATTTGGAATGAGAAATACAAACTTTATTTACCTGTGCAAAAATCCAGTATGGCGTATATAAGAAAACAAGTTGATCACTGAGAACAAGAGACGAAACACCATTTTAAAATTCTAATTACGCCATCTTGTAGAGGAGAAAAATGTTAATGAACCATTTATTTTGAAATCGCATTTCAAATGAACTTAGGAAAAAAGAAAAACGGATTTGGAAAAATTTGGTTTGTTTCGCCTATCTCCGAAAAAACTGGAAATTGCGAAATTTTCCTAGTTACCTAAATACGCAACTTTGCCTCCATTTAACCGACATCATATATCTTAGCTAATTTTCATATATTTTTTTAATGACAAAGTGAGGGTCCAGTTTTGGGCACTTTCCTCTAATATTACCGTGACCTACATAATATTACCGTTGGTTTTGGTTCTGATTGCAATATTCGCATTTACTGTCACTAGGAATAATGAAAAATAAATATTGATACGTACGGCAAACACAGCATTGTTATTGAATGGAATGTTACCTGATAAGTTGTCAATTGTTGTTGGCAAAATGATTCATTCAAAGTTGATAAACAATATAACAGCAAAAGCAAACATAGATCTTATAATCTGATCTCTGATACTGTCAAGTACCACTAGACTTCAAATGAAATACTGATTTTCCTTCTCTGCGATTTATTTTTCTACAAGTATTATTTTTATAACTATATTATAAAATATAAAATATGTATAACAGAATTAAATTATTTCTATCATCTACAATATTGCTATTCAAGGCTATAAGGGTAGTTGTACAGACCAAGTTTCAATGCAATGTTGATGTTGCTTTTATGATACATTAATTATAACAGTTTACAGGACTCATGAAGTTCAGCATGCCATTTGAATCCCCCGTATAGATCGGAGGAAATAACGAAACCTAAAGTTGTCGTTCCGTGCGGAGACAGCGACAGGAGATCTAGACCGGCAATTAGTGGCTGACGTCGCAATGTGTATGAGAGAGAAGTGCGGAAAGCGTGCAGTATGGTAGAAAGAGTGAGCCGAAGCTACGTCCATAGTATCGTTACTTGTAAGGCAAAGAGGTGCTTCTGTCTCTTTCTAAAACACGTATTGCACGCTTTTCGCGTTTCTCTCTCGTACACATTACGACGTCACTGGTATATGGATTTCACTGTATAAGGGTGGGCTAGTCTCTTCCCGGAACGGGACAAGATACTGATTAAAATTTAAGCAAGTTTACCAATTTTTAGGCGAACTATTACTTTGCTGTGACCACAAACGTAACTGTAGCTTCTGTGTGGGATGAGTCCAGAATATGGTGAAACCGTATTATCTATAGGTTGTTTATTCAATTCAAAATTTGCTAACCAGTCGCTAATTCACATGTTCCAAGTTTAGGCATAATCATTTTTGTGTATAGATAAAGAAAATTCGAAACATAGAAAACGTTTATTCCAAAAATAAATCAATGAAGCTAATAAAAATTAAACACGACAATAAACATTACATTGTTTCTCCTGACTTATGACATTGGGAACAATGGCCTAAAAGATGTGTTGAAAGTGACCACCTCTGAATTCAATGCATGGTTCTGCTCTACGCCACAAATTCTCCCTGACTCTTTGTAGTACGAACACTGTTGTAAGCCTTCTCCATACTTCGTCCTCATACTTCATGTCCGAGGTTGCTAACATTTCTGATATCTTTATTGTCTTTATTGAGCTCACTTAATCCCAAAAGCTAAAAGGGGAGGCTAAACCTTTTCATAAGAATATTTTAGGATTTTAGCTCAAATATTCAAACCTAAATAACTCTAAAACGAATGACCCAACAAAAGACCCTAAAGAGACAAAATACATGGAAAATTGAATAGTATTTTATAAAATGCACTTCTTTTCTCCGAAAAGGCCAGTGGAGTAGAAAATATACAGGTAGCATGGTTTATACCTCCTGGTTTAGTTTTTGCCGGAAAACTCTGTGAGTTTATTGCTAGTGGTATGCTTACTGAACGTCTAAAATCCTGACTTAGTATCTTTATCCGCTCGGTACATATATATATATATATATAAATTGAGACGTGGTCATTGTCGTCTAGACCAGTTAGGTGAAAAATTAAAGCTTCCGCCTTTTGTTGGGTACTTCGACAAAATTTAAACAAAGAGGACTCTTTATACTTTTTTTAATTCTCTCTAGCTTTCAATGGACTTTGCCATCATCATCAGGAGCTGCAATTACAATGATAACAGTAGCAACAAAGGTGTAAAATGAATTTAAATTGAATCAACTTACAGTAGTATGTGAGGATGTTGCTAATTGTTGTTTTCGTATAGGATGAGGGAAACGTCCAGTAACATGGTGAGAGCTGGATACATGGTACAATGGTTAAAATTATATAAAATATGACAAGACAAGTTAAAGACAGATTAAAAATTATTTAGAAAACATTTGAGCATTACGTCGTGAAGCCACTTGATGATTGCACAAAATGGTGGTTATGGAACAATGAGTGAGATGAACCTTTGACAGAAGGCCGAAGGTTGTCAATGTCTGTGTTGAAAGATGAAACGAATTGTGGGCGTGTGCCAAAACGTTGCCAAATCACTTCAGATGATGTGATTTTCAGAATGTTATGTAAGAAATTGTTAAACCGACCAGAGGTAGTTGAATAAACTATGTTTTAATTAATGGGAATTTTAAATTAACAATTATTAATAAATCGTGAGAAGAGAATTATTAGATTTTGAGTGGAATGAAATTTGCAACAACTGCAACCAAATATACATAGGTCAGACCTCCAGATCTCTTAAAGGAAGGATTACATCACACAAAAGTGATGCTAGGCTTCATCCTGAAAGATGCGCTCTAGCATCTCATGTTAACACAACAGGGCATTCTATGAATTGCACAAGTATCAAAGTTCTTGATAAAGAAAAACACCTTTCCAAACGTTTATTCCTGGAAATGTCCCACATTTTCATGAATAACAACTGTATCAACAAAAAGACAGATATTAAACAACTGAGTGTCATTTACTCATATTTGCTAAACTGCGAAAAATTGGAGAACTTACATATCTCCCCAAATTTCGACTTTTCACAACCATAAATATAATCTGTGTTTTGGCCGATTCCACCAACAAATTTCATTCCACTCAAAATCTAATAATTCTCTTCTCACGATTTATTAATAATTGTTAAGTTAAAATTCCCATTAATTAAAATATAGTTTATTCAACTACCTCTGGTCGGTTTAACAATTTCTTACACAACATTCTGAAAATCACACCATCTGAAGTGATTTGGCAACGTTTTGGCACACGCCCACAATTCGTTCCATCTTTCAACACAGACATTGACAACCTTCGGCCTTCTGTCAAAGGTTCATCTCACTCATTATTCCATAACCACCATTTTGTGCAATCATCAAGTGGCTTCACGACGTAATGCTCAAATGTTTTCTAAATAATTTTTAATCTGTCTTTAACTTGTCTTGTCATATTTTATATAATTTTAACCATTGTACCATGTATCCAGCTCTCACCATGTTACTGGACGTTTCCCTCATCCTATACGAAAACAACAATTAGCAACATCCTCACATACTACTGTAAGTTGATTCAATTTAAATTCATTTTACACTTTTGTTGCTACTATTATCATTGTAATTGCAGCTCATGATGATGATGGCAAAGTCCATTGAAAGCTAGAGAGAATTAAAAAAAGTATAAAGAGTCCCCTTTGCTTAAATTTTGTCGAAGTACCCAACAAAAGGCGGAAGCTTTAATTTTATATATATATTCTTTTTATTTCGTAAATAAAACTTCATCACCCCGTATCTCGGTATGGAAGCATCTTTGGACCCATATTAATAGGAACCTTTCCTGCCACTTTTGTATGTTCTTTCTAGCCCAGAAGTATTAGCACGTCTTTTTGAAACACCCTGTATAGAGAGATGTTTTCTCTATCAGTGCGGTAGCCAGTTGTTCGCTCCTGTCGCTGTCCCTGTGAGGAATAGTACCTTTACCTTATATAAAACAGATATAATATGGCATACACAGTTGTAAGTACTGTACGTGTAACATGCAATTTGGCCAAATAAATGAAATGTTGAGATTTAAATTTCAATCAAATAATAGCTGTAATTTTTCGAACTAACCAAGTTGAAATCATCCATGATGCAGAAGTTCATATTCTATAAATCCAATTTTTTTATTTCAGTGGCAGGCACGCCACTTTTGACTAGAATTGACTGGTCACGGGTAGTTACTTGCTGTACACTCTTTAGTGATCTGTCAATCCAGCTAAAAATTACCTAGATACGTTCATTCAATATTGGTAGCTTGGACTTTACAGAATATCCACGTCTCATCACTGTCAGTGATCAAAGAATACGGGTGGTATGAATTTAAACATTTTTACAAATACAACAAAGATATAAGAATTTTACTCTGTATAATTTTTGAATATAATGTTTACCCTGTGTATCACAAAATTCACCATGCAGCGAAACTAAGATTGGTGCTAGAATCTTTGGTCTGTTTGCTGTTTGTCTCATTTTTCTCATCTAAGTTTATTTGGTCAAAAGTGTCTAAAAAGTATTCAATTTTTTCTAGTAGATTAGTGGCTACACTGGCGAACTCCTCCCAGATCAGGTATTCTTGCGTCATGAAAATGTCAGTGTCGTCCATGTTTTCTTCAATCCCGAACAGCTTCTCTTCGTCTAAAATAATTGAATGGTTTATAGAAGGCACTGAAGTAAGAGGCAAAAAACTTTACGTTGAGCAGTAGTCATTCAGAAATATTTAGAGAATACATTAGTCCACGAGTGACATACGAATGACGTTTATTTGTTTACAATTTGTATGACGTCATATAATGGCCGATAGTGTTTTCACCGTTTTATATTCTAAATAAAAAATAGATCTTTTTACATATACATCTTGCGCTTGTAAAAAATGAAATCGATATATTTCGTTTTCCTGAGCCAAATACTGTAAGAAATGCGCATTTATTCTATGAAATTAGATATGAGTCCAGTAGTCTATTATACTGGGTCGTTCTAAAATTATATCCCTATTCCCACTATCGCCTTTTAGATGCAATTCGATGTGGGCTTGTAGACGTGTTGTCGGTGTAAGGTGGGGGCTTAAACCCAACGTGGTATACTGGCTCTACACGACGATAGTACGTCCATCTCTCTTGTACGGCTCCCTGGTCTGGTGGCCTTGCATTAGAACTGAGACAACTAAGGCCAAACTCAATAAAATTCAGCGTTTGGCATGTATTAGTATTACAAGCGCAGTGCGAACAACGCCATTGAGTGCAATGGAAGCTCTGTCGGATCTCCCACCGTTGGATCTGGTGATCCGCTGAGTCAGGGCAGCTGGGCTTTCTTGCGATTTTATCTTGTGTAGCTCACATTCTGGAGGAGGGTGGGCCTAGGAGAAGAATAACAATCTTATCCGACAGCCAGGCTGCAATGAAAGCACTAAGTTTACTTCGCAGCGAGGCTTCCGGTATCGTTAATATGGGTACCGGGGCACGCTGGGATAAGGGGCAATGAGACGGCGGATACTTTGGCGAAGACAGGAGCAGCCAGCAAGCTCGTTGGTACTGACTGCGCATAAAGCTAGGAGGAAAATGGAGACGTGGGTTGCAAGAAATGGAGAAATATCACCAGACATCTCCGCGAGGCACGGGAACTCATTGAAGGACCCAGTGTTAAGGATGGACGCTTCTGCCTATCTCTGGATAGAGAAAACCTAAGGTTGCTGGTGGGACTGTTGTCTGGCCATAGCACGTTAAGGCGTCACCTGCACGTGATGGGGGTGGCTGAGGATCCCTTGTGTGAACGCTGCGGGGTAGAGGAAGAGACCTCGGCGCACGTTTGGACGCATTACTTTGGACCCTCAGGACGTCAAGGGCGATTCTCAACTTCGCTAAAAGGGCGAGGCTTGTGATCTAAGGATTGTAGAGGTGCATAAAGGCCCGCTTAAGCGGCCTATGCACTGGCTCCTTATAGTGGCCGGAATGCCTCTAATTTCAAGATTCATTCATTTCATTCCATCGCCTTTTAGAAGCCTAAATCTTCCTAGGCGAGCCCCATAGATTTTCTTAGGAACTAGAAGCGTAATCTTTTTACGTTTTACATCCGAGAGCTTGGCATCTTATTCTACGTGCACCATGAATATTTGGCTGAATGAAGAAATTGATGATTGAAAACAACGAATATGGCTGGAAACCACTTTTGAAAATAGTTTTTCTCTTTGGCCGCAAATGACTAAAAATGGGCTGATAAATGTTTTTATCCATGACAGCTTTCAGCGTGTTAAAAATGTTCGGTAGGCTTAAAGATTTGATGAAAAACCATTTTCCTATAGCATATGCAAGGTCCAATTTTATATTACTCAGAATTTTCAATGCAATGGCGTTAAAACTTACCGAGGCAATCCGCTAATATAATCAGCAACTTGTGAATCTCCGTTTCCGAAAACAGCTCGTGCAGATCTATCGTGTCGATACAGTAGTTCCAGAGCACTTGACAGACGAGGTTGCCCAGTAACCAATCCGAGTCGCAGAAATTGTTCAAAATGCACACGAGTTTGTCTACTCCTTTTTTCGTCTTGAACAATATTCGGGCGCGATTGTCTGACATAAGGTTTACGAACACTCCGACGGTTGTTTTCAGTAAAGTGGGATCAGCTGAAAACAAAGAACAATAGGTTTTATTACTGAGCGTACGAATTTGAATTAACTACAGTCCCTGTGAGCTGCGCGGGTTTGAATCCCGTCTCAAGAGAATTCTTCTCTAGGCTATCGATATTGTGTGATTGTCCCTAAGGTGACTGGTAGGTAGGCAAGTAGGTACCGTGATTTCACACACGTTAAGGAATACCTCAGTACCGATTGCCGGGTGGCTGTACAAGTCCACCAACGAAGAAATTAATGATGGTGGTTCCCTCGAGTACTAAGAATTCCGGATGTAAACTCACTCCATTCTCAGAATGGACGGGTGGAGGGTGGACTCGAGGGAACATCGAAGATAACATTTGTTTCGCGAACATCTGCGGGATTAACAGCAACACTGATGCTGTACATCACTACTTGCAATCCAATCGTCCCGCCATGCTTTTCTTGGCGGAGACAAAAATCTCAGAGTCCGCACCAATTAACCAACTTATCTTCCCAAATTACGAGGTGCACTCCAATCTGAAAAAGAACGGAGGAGTTGTGGTCTTTGTCCGCAGCAGTCCTTCCTGCTGCAGAGATGTTTCTCTGGAATCAGACCGGAAGGACATTCTGTGGCTTCGTCTCAGCTCCAAAACATCCCCCAAATTTATTTGCTGCCTTTATCGCTCTCCCTCGGACCATAACTGGGATGACCTTGAATACCTCGCCGTTAAGGTCGACTTCCTGAACATCGATCACCCCGCTTCAGAGGTAGTTCTCCTCGGTGATTTCAATGACCATAATTTGCTTTGGTTGGGCTCAAACAAGACCGATGCAGCAGTTGAAGCGTTCGCTCTTACTCAAGGACTACCTTTCCTTGGAGAGATGTCTGTTTCACTGACGCGGATGCGTCGGCTGTCTGTTCTTCGATAACCAATATTATCCACGTCGGAATGGAGGAATACATCCCTCATACAGTGAAAGTGTCTAAACCAGGGTCACAGCGCAATGGCAGTCAGTCTTTCTGGACGCTGGCCAAGCAGATCGAAAAGAAACTCTCACACAGCAGCCTTCCACCAGTTACGTGTCAGGATGGAACGATTGCATCGGACTCAAAGGCCAAGGAGGAAGTCCTTGCCAAGATCTTTGCTGCCAACTCCACCATGGACGTCCCCCCCAGCGCCCAAGTGCAGTCAGTTCAAAGGGTTCCCTACACTATGCGGGAAGTAACATTCAGGTATAAGACCGTAAGACGAGTGCTCTTGTCGTTCGACATCAACAAAGCTTCTGGATCAGACTTGATTCCTGCCATTGTACTGGAGAGGTGAGCAGCGGAGCTTGCTCCAATTCTTTCGCGTCTCTTCCAGATACCTCATGAATCTGGCACCTTCCCAGAAAACTGGAAATTCGCTCATGTCTAACCGATCCCAAAAAAGGGATCTAAGAACGACCCTTACAACTACAGGCCTATAGCTCTGTATTCTGTTTTAAGTAAGGTGATTTAGGGGTGCCTAAATCGCGAGCTTCTGGACTACCTCGAACGTCACAGCTTGATTCACTAATCAGGCAGTATGGTTTCCGGCACCAGCGATTAGCAGCGGACCTCCTAGCTTACGTCACGCAATTGTTGAGTAAACTCATCCAGTCTTATGGTGAGGCTTATGTCGTTGCTCTTGACATCACGAAAGCATTCGATCAGCTGAGACACGCTGCCCTTTTAAGCAAACTTCCATCCTATGGCCTCCCAAAAAAGTTTTGCAGATGGGTGGCAGACTTTGTCTCTGGCCACAAGAGGGTTCTCCTCTTCATCCCACAACGTCAACGGGGGTGATTCCCATGGATCGGTCTTGACTCAGACACTATTCCTCTTACATATGAACGACCACCGTTCCTGCACGATCAACCCAAACCACAGTTTTGTTGGTGACAGCACTCTACATGCTGTGGCAGCCGATCTCTGTCGCTGAGCTAGTGACGACTTCCTGTCTGACAAGAGACCTGGAGGGTATCACTGCTTGGGGACGCAACAATCTTATACAGTTTAATGCTTCCAAAACACAGTACTGTACCTTGACGAACAAAAAGCGTCCTAAAGCTTATCCGGTTTCGATGGATGAAGAAGTACTTTTCTCCGCATGACCTTCTCACTCAGTACAAGGCCCAGATAAGGCCTAGCCTCGAGTATTTCTCACACATTTGGTGTGCTGCTGCCCCGACTACATTATTTATGCTCGATGCTGACCAGAGGAGGGCTGTCCGACTGGGATATGTCTCGGAGTCCCTCAGAATGTTTTTTTTATTACGAGAAATGAAGTTTTTTATGTTTGAAACTTTAATATTATTCACTAGTTAATTATACATGCCAAGTACTTATTTTGTCTTTTATTGCCTTTTTGAGGATTTCTGAGCATTTTCCATGTTTTTTCTTCAAGCTGGCCTGGACCAGATAGAACGCAATGGATTTAAGGAGCAATAATAGGATAAATTCTGGAAGTTCCACTGAGGTTAAAAATGACCAGCCCCAAATATCGTTTGTGCCCCCCCCCCATAGACGAGATCCTGAATCCGCCCTTGCCTACGTGATAGCTCAAGTATAAATAAACATGTGTTACTGGGAATAAAAGCGAGACATTTTATCAGGCTTAGGCATGCTTGCCACATAATATGTATTTTCCAGAACAGTACTATTTGAGAAACTGGGTACCATGAATAGGCTGCAGATTTCTTGAAATGCCTTCGTAACAGTACCAAATGGGAAGCTTAAACTCAAGAAAAATCATACACAATGGTTTTCAAAAATGTTCCACATAATTATTTTCTGAATGGCAGGGGTGTTATGTTTGTAAAAAATCTAAAAAACGTCAAAAAAAACGTCGAAATGTCAACTTGCAGACTAGGTAGTTTTTAGTGTGCAAATAGTTTATTTCAGGCTATGCTCGCTCTTCGCTGACGTTTAAGCAACACGTACATCTACAAAACGAGTTCACAACAAGTGTACTACAGCTTTCAAGATGCGTAATACACGTGAGGCACAGTTTTTTGACATTTAGTAGGTTTTTTGTGAAATAACGGAGTTTTTTTTACGAGACGTTAACTTAGAACTAGCTGTTGTACACTTTTTGTAAACTCGTTTTGTTGCTGTACGTGTTGGTGAAACGTAGGCGAACAGCGATCATAGCGAACAAACGCGGAATTAACTATTTGCACACTAAAACTAATAAATAAAATATTTTTTAGGTTTCATACATAATACCCCTGCCGGTTAAATTTGGGCGAAGGCCTTAGTTATGTCAACTTGGGTGCATCGGTAGATTAGGGCATACTGACCTGCGACTTTTTGAAAGATATCACACAATGTTGATGGCAATGCGTTCATGCAGATTATCCAATTCAGACCAAAACAAATCTGTTATCATTGATCTGCTACGTACTTTTTTAATGGTGATGGTGTGTTATTTTCGAAAATACACGGACCAGTGAAATGACGGCTCAAAATACACACCTAACAACCATGGGTACATTGCAAAATATCTTCGTAAATACCTCACACAGAGTGTTATATTCCATTCAAACATCATTACTGGAAACGCTTATCTTAGCAGAACACCTTGCTTGTCCGGCAGCTAAATGAAGCTTTAAAAAAGTAATTTAAACATATGTGGTTTAATTTTGCGGACAAACAATCCTGGAGAGTTCTACCACCATGAAAACCATAGGATAAGGTTCAGAGTTTACATTACCCTTTACTTTTATCCTTTTGACCATATGAAAATTGTATTGAATTCTACCGAAACTTATTTTTCCTAAGGTTGGTAACATTTTTAACATTACCTTTATCTAGCAGGTTCAGTAGAATTTCAAAGATTTCCGTTTCACAAACATAGTTTCTCGTAATCTTTGATCTGGACAGATTACCTAGTATCCTCATGGTCTCAATAACTGACTCTTTGTTTTTAGACCTTGCGAATTCTGTAATAGCTGCAAAATAATATTACTGAATTAAAAAGAGGAGAAAAAGCATATTCTACAAGTCTAGAATTCACTATCATTTAAGTCTGTAGCTTTAATACAGTGACTGAGTAGTCTCCAAAGAATTTTATAAATAAAAAAGCTAGTTATTCTTTAAACGTATATGCGTAGTTCATGTTTTCCTTCTGACCCTCATACGAGCTAGGAGGTATTTTAAGGTTCTTAGAAACTGTTATTATCATGTATGTTTATTACTCGATTGCCTTAGAATGAGGCTTATGTTTTTCGCGCTAGGGTATGTATGTATCCAAAAATTCTATTTCACGGGCTACAGGCCAAACGGTCTACAACCTCCCACGCCCCAATTTTTATCCATGAAATTTTTTTAAAAATGATCAGGATCCTTCGAAACGTCATAAAACGAAGTTCGAGCGATTGCTATTTTTTTCATTTTTGTCCTTTTTCACCACCGTCTCTGAATCGATTTTCAAAAACTACAAAGCTTTTACGTCCCTGACATAGTGGTTACCTCCTTATAGACGGGCCAAGGATTAGAGGACAGACAGACCGACGGAAATTAAACATGGTTTTTTGTGATATACATGTCATATAAAATAATAAATTTCTGTATTATGTACCGGGGTTATAATATGGTTTAAGATGACACACGGGTTGATGACGTCAGTTACTCGAATCGCTTGAACGCATTGGTTTTAACCGCGGTTTTGTTGCAAGTTGTTTATTTTAGAAAAGCCGGTATATAATTTCTGTTTTTTTTTTATTATCACTTAATAATCGGTGCTTTTTCGTCTACAATGGTGAATGGAACGTTTAAAAAAGAAACCTTTCATAATATTAATGGGAGAAATATTTTTTTTTCAGAAAAAAATTTTTAATGATGGAATCATGCTTTTGTAGCTATGATAACTTTCAATGAAAGCGATGAAAAAAGATATTAGCAAAAGCGTATACAGGTGGACCTTATCCAGTGAGTTTATATGGCCATATTTTAATATTCTTGTGGTATATGGCTACACGTGATACTTTCTTAAGCATAGGAACTAGATTTAAAGTGTCCCCAACAACAGTAATGAGTATATCTAATAAGGTGCTCTACTTTATGCTACAACTGAAGTTAGCCTGTATCAAGTTTCTCAAAAATGAAGCTGAAGTACAACAAAAATATCCAACACCCGCCAAAATTCTAACTTTCTAACATTTCAAATAATAACTAGAAATATAAAACTACTCCGGAGTTGGGTAAATACCACAATTTTACGGTGATAACTATGACATATAACAGCTGATTCATGACGTCACGGATCTTATAACCAAAGTGATAACCACGGATCGGCAAATACCAATCCAAAATGGTAAATAATATTTTCATTTGGTTATTCGCTTGAATTTGATTTTTTATTGTACTTCAGCTTCATTTTTGGAAACTTACGGGCTAACTTCAGTTTTAGCATAACGTAGAGCACCTTATTAGTTATAATCATTACTGTTGTTGGTGACACTTAAGATCTAGTTCCTACGCTTAACAAAGTATCCTGTGTAGCCATATACCACAAGAATATTAAAATATGTCCATATAAACTCACTGGATAAGGTCCACCTGTATACGCTTTTGCTAATATCTTTTTTCATCGCTTTTCTCTATCATTTCTGCTAAATCAATAAATCATTTCTTTGACATGCGGAAAAGTTTAGAGAATTGAAAGTTATCATAGCTACAAAGCTGGTTGGTTCCATCAATAAAAAACTTTTCTGAAAAAAAAAACATTTCTCCCATTAATATTATGAAAGGTTTATTTTTTAAACGTTGTAGACGACAAAGCACCGATTATTAAGTGATAATAAAAATAATCAGAAATTATATACGCACTTTTGTAAAATAAACAACTTGCAACAAAATCGCGGTTAAAAACAACACGTTCAAGCGATTCGAGTAACTGACATACATAACACAGAAATTTTGGTTATTCGCTTGGATTTGATTTTTGAAATCAACCTTGAAATTTCTATTTCACATGCTTAAACACCTTGATGGATTTTGACGTATGAGGCCTCTCTAGATTTGTTTTGATAGTACATGTGCTGATAGGCATACTTGAAATTCTTATTTGACGGCTTGATGAATTTTGACATATGAGGTGTCTCTAGATTTCTCCTGATAGCATTTTCATTCTTTTTAGTTAGTGCAGTTTGTATTTTTTTTTAAATGTAGGTAGTTCTTTGTCATTTTGGTAAAACAATAATGCCTGTGAAGAAATGTTTCAGTCAAGTTTTTAAATAGATTTCTGTGAAGATTTCTCACCTTCAACTATGTCAATCTGTTTAATGTGGAAAATGTCAATTTCCATTTCACTGGTGTAGTAATACGAAAGATTGTTCAGTGTGCTTAGTATGGACAGCACTAACTCTTCGTTTTTCTTGAACGGGTTGCTTATAAGCACCTTGAGTATTTCCTCTATTATTTTGTTTCCGTATTGGTCGTTCAGTGCTTTCCCGATCTCTGGGTTTATCACCATGTTTGCGATAACTCGAATTATCTAGAAGAAAATTAAAAAACGGGAGTTGAAAAATTAGGTTAAACAACCTCGTGTATCTTTAGGGAATAACAAATTACTTCAATTACCCCAATATGTCCGAAAATCAATCGTTTCCGAGAAAAATGAGTCGTAAATAATTAAATTTTCTGAAACATTTGGCAACGCTGCAACGCAACCGCGATACGAGTGCACGACGACCGCAACTGATTCATCGAATTGTTTACGTTTGTATGATATTTTTGTTGAAAATGTGCCTTGAATTATGGAATACTTTTACGCAATTTTTTATGGCTAATGTTTTTTATTTAATAACGCTTTCAGTACAGTATACTTACTTAAAATAAATTACAGAACTTGCCGGTACGTGGCGATACACCCCACCAATTCCCACGATTATCTGTCACTTATTTGAAACGATGCGATGTATTAGTGTTCATAACAACACGCGATGATACATGCAGTGCAGGCGGAGTACGACGTTGCCAGTTGTGTGAGGGATTTTGTTTGTCTGTTTTTCTTCGGAAAATTGTATTTAATAAACAAGAAAATTGTTTTGTTAGAGACAGTTAATTAATAAATAGATGTATTGATACATTTTACGCTATTAGGCATATGAATTTAAATTATTAAGGTGCAAAATTAATTTATTTCATGACTAAAAAGAGTTCAGCATTTTTTTGCTTCGAAACGGTTGATTTTCCGACATAGGTTATAATGAACTTTTTGCTTTGACAGTGCAAGAAATCACCTCTTAAAGTTACGAATATTATTTCCCTAACACCCTGTATATAAATAATACCAAAATATGTTGATTCAAATCTCTAAAATGTAAAATTTTATGACTGGCATTTTTTTAGTGAAGCGATTTCTGCCAGGAAATTTAATATTTTTCTCTGTCATTATTGTTGGACTGATTATCTGTGGCTGGTACACACTGAGTTCTATTTGTGTTGAAGAATGGTGCGGACTGGCTGTAACCTACGTTTACTATGGACTAAGGATGCTTACCTTAATCATGACATCTTCGGGGTTGCTGTTAAATTCATTATCACTCTCCGCTTTAAGCGAACAGTTGTGGAGTGTTCGTTCTAAATAGATTTTCCACAGATTCAACAAGCTATCAATTGAGTTGTCTTGGTAGTAGAACTGCAAAAATAAATGTTATGGGCTTGTGATAGGTATATACCTATATACCACGAAAATAATGAACAAAAAACGGAAGAAATTTGAAACTCCTGAAACGCAGAATCATCTCCATGTTGTACTGCCTCTTGGATAAAACCACAAATGTTGGTCTTTTTTAAAATAGAACGTGAAGTGAATGTAACAATATTTTTTTGATAGTTAACTTCACTTAATGTTGTACTCTAGGATGATCGTAACGTCATTATTATAATGTACCTTATTCAACGGTCAGTATAACGCGGTGGTGAATGAGAAAAATATTTTGCTGTCAAACAACAATGATTTGTATTTTAGCAAATTATTGAATACTTATAGAATCCATGAATTTAGATTTTTTATAATTCTGTTTCAATTGTCACTGATGGATTTTGGTTTCCTTTGTATCAAGGGAGAGATCTTATTTTCCGTTATTTGTGCATTCTTCATTGTATACCCACCTTTACTCTTGTATTATCAATCTTTGCCACTATATTTCCTAACGTGTAAGTCAGACGAACAATAATTTCTTCATTTCCTGCGTACTCTTCGAATAATCTTATAAATAACTTATAAATGTTCTTATAGTCCACTATACTGTCACAACAGCACTCATTCGTTGATATTGTGCTGAAAAAATAAAGGCACTCTTAGAACGATAATAAAACTTACAATAAAATAGTTAATAGAACAACTCTCCCTCTTCTGTAATATACACATTTTAAAACGGCGAACATTGATGCAAGAAAAGATTGTCAACTAAAAATAATACGCGAAAACGACTAAATGAATTCACCGCAATTTTTAACAGATCCTTAAAATCTAAGGCTAATTGTAGATCGAATTGTGCAGTCCACACGAATTTGTGAATTTTAATCCGTTTTAGTGATTTCTATTCACTTCTAAAATCGCCATACTAACTTTTTTAATATCCCACAAGATGCTTACCTTAGATTTCAAAAGATTTGTTAAAAAATGTTAATTCACGTAGTTATTAGTTGATAACTAAAAGACCTCATCAACTTTCTGCAGATTTTGTATAGTGTTTATTATCGTATACATGTATTAGCTTAAAATTTGATTGAGATGATTACTTTGCTTTTTTCCGAACAAGGAAAAACAAAAGTTTTTGTGTTATTCATTTTGTATCTTTACCTTAGTGTCCTGGATATATTGGTGACGATATCCACATCCGAGAAAAACAACTCCAATGTCTGACATAGTTGAGGTATGGTACCAAATGATATGAAGGTATCATAAACAAGTTCCTCTGACACCAAATTTCGTAACGCTGCAGTAAGTTGGAACAGAACATGAGTTGTCTGTTCCGGCATTGTGCTTTTTTCTGATTTCTGAAATATAATGGTTATATTTTAGGGAGAAGTACATTTTATCAAAACAATATAATCAAATAATTCTTTAGTAGAATCTACCTTTGCGGCTTTTATGCGGCTCAGGTTAAGAATCTATGCTTCTTGGCGAAGATTCTTATGTAAATTTACCTAAGGCACCTTTCTCATTCGGCATTGCGATATTTTGTACGATGTGAAATACAATGTCTCAGAAAAGATTTAGGATTTCCAAATATGACAAAATATTTTATTTTTCAAAGATTTGTGTCATGTAGATGTCCTTCATTTCATTGAGGCATGGCTGATTCCATCTTGCTTGAATGAATTAATAACGATATTTTAGTTGCATACCGTCCACCATGAGGAACCGGTGTATCGGCCGCATAAACGGGCCCTTATGGGCCACTACATTCCCACATACCTCAAGATCCGCCCTTCTAGCAAAGTTGAGTATATCCCTCTCAACGAACAATTATTACTTCTATTAGAGTTGCAAGAATGATTATACAGTATTCCTTAAACAGCATTGTATACTGTAAGAACATTGGCAAAACCCTCTTAGAACTGCTATACAAGCGGAATAGGCACACCTAATAGGACACTTCAGTCATTTAAGAGGTTGTATAAGGGCTGCAGGTAACAGTTATACAACAAAAGTGTAAGCCTCTTGCAGCCGCTATAGGACATTTGCGTCAGTGCAAGATTCAGTTTTTGTCAACTATACAACTATTCTGTTACGTGATTCTACTTTATTGCAACCAAACTATTTCTCATGTGTTGTATAGACGAAGAAGAATATATAACTAATACATTACAGTCATCTTGTTTACTTACATATCGGCCATTGTGAATTTCATACACAGGTATAGGATAAACTTCTACACTGTGATATAGGGCTATTGAATTACTTGCTTGTGATTATCGTGCAAATTAATTACGCAATTTCTACGGGCTTCGTATTTGATTCATATTTTGATAATGATCAAAAGTATATCTAGATTTTTAAGATAGAAAACTGAACTTATCTGCGTTAAATCTTCCACAAATCCTATATTTAGACACAATTACACTAATGTTTATCACTTTATATCTGTAATTTCGAACTGAAACATAATTATTTATTATTAAATAGAGGAATAAATGTTTACCCAATATGGCGGGTGGTTGTGTATAATCATGGCATGGTCCATGCATGTTGTCTTTAGGTTATTAGAATATTTTGGTGTTATACAACAATTTGACAAATGTCTGAAATGAAATACCGACAGAGTCGAATGATTTACCCAGAATTTGTACCAGATCTATATCTTCTGTTTGAACAGTTGATAAAACATTTTGAACCAATATGCATGCGTCGTTTGTCTTAAAACATTGGTATTGGCATTTTAACAAAAATATGACAGCAGAAAGTTAGGTTATAGTGAAGTTGGGAGCAATTTGTTGGCTAAAGTAGTAAATTGCACAGCAAAACAATAAAGCTCGGGTTTGTTTTATAAACGTTACCATGGATGCCACAACACAACCATTTTGACTAACGTGCAAATATGCCGTATAAAATAGTTGTATAATCGTTTATGCAACAGTTAAAAATTTGCCCTATAAGGTGTTGTATAACTATGCTACAAGAATATTTTAAACACCTCTCTTTAGAGCAAATATGTCGCAGAAAGCAAATTTGCATTCCACACAACATTTTGGGGTTCAGGCAACAACAATTATGGCTGAACGGTTCTTTTACCTAAAGCTTATACCACTACTTTGCCAGTTGGGCTGAGTCTTCATTCTGGGGATCCAAAGTGTTGGACCCCTGTAGTAGCTCAGTAGCTCACAGCATCACAGAACATGCGCCGAGGACTTTTCCTCTACCCCGCAGCGCTCAGCACACATGGGATCCTCAGCCACCCCCATCACATGCAGGTGGCGCCTCATCGTGTTTTGGCCGGATAACAGTCCCACCAACAACCTGAGGTTGACTTTATCTAAAGATAAGCGAAAGAGTCCATCCTTAACACTGGACCATACGATGAGCTCCCGTGCCTGGCGGAGATGTCTAGAGATGCTTCTCCATTTTCCTCCTGACTCTTTGCGCGGGTACCCCTAGAGCTGGCTCAGGACCAACAAGCTTGCCCGCTAATCCTGCTTTCGCAAGAGCATCCGTCATATCATTACCCTTTATCCCAGCGTACTTCGATACTCACACTAATGACACCGGATGCCTCGCTGCTAGACTATCTAGAGCCAGGAGCATTGCAATGTAAGGGTCGAAGTAATCTTGCAGGCACTTACTGCCTTCATCGCAGCCTGGCTGTCTGAGAAAATTGTTATTCTTCTCCTAGGCTCTTTCCCTTCCAAAATGTGGGATACGAAAGCCAGAATTGCATAGATTTAACTGTCTGGAAAATAATGGTGTATCCGCCCGAGAGAGTCTAGTTCTAGGCCCAAAGACTAAGGCGTCAGAGCCCTCTTCAGTAACCGAGCCGTCCTTGTACCAGACTGCCCACTTCCTTCGGGCCTTCCGGCTTCCGGAGTACCACTCCGCCCTCGTCGGATACTCGATATTAAACTTGCGTCATTTAGGGGTGATCAGATCACACCTGCTCAGAAGGCCTGGATCTTTCCTTCGAAATTAAACTATGTCAGTGTGACTCTTGACATGACTCATAAAGGACCAGCTGCCTTGACTCCACAGTCGATGTGTTGACTATTCTCACCACTCCGCGGATCACTGGTTCCAACAGGAGGAGATCCAGCAGAGCTTCCATTGCACGTTTTCTGCATTTCGCTTGTAATACTGGTACCAGCCAAACGCTGAATTTTATTGACTTTGACCTTAGTTCCATTTTGCTTCCTACGTGACGTATATTTTTACAAGTCAAATTATATTTTTCGGAGTAATCTTGTTAACTTTGTGCCTGTGAACATTGTCGACGGGGGGTCAATTCTGGTACTTACGCTGCATAGAATAGTATCAAAGCGATACATCAACTTTTGTGGAAAACGTTCGGGAAGGTAGTCCAGAGTAACCATTGCAGTGAGGCAAGTATGCAGAATGTTGTCTGATCTGAGGTATAAAATAATTATCTACTTATCGTTTTAACTTTGATGATATTGCATGCCGTCCGCGATCAACAGATTTGATAATCATTGACTCTTTCTGTGGAGTATGCCTAGAGCAAAGCTGGCGTTAATATTTGAAGAGAGCCTCGAAATAATATATCCATGGTTAAATGAGCGAAACTGAACGCCATGAACAGGTTCTAGTCATAAGTGCGTACCGTGAAATGAGGGTCACCTAGATAACGTAATCTTTATACAGGGTGGCGCATCGAAAACGAAACAGACGCATTTACTGGCAGCTCAGTTTTTTTTTGGAACGCTCAGACCCGTCGAGATTTTTAAAAAATCACGTTAACACGTGCAGCCCCCTGGGCGGGGGTGACACCAACCCTAAAATCTTAAATGGAAAGGGGGGTCGAGTGATACCTTATTTTAAAGGTCTTTCAATTCCCTTTATAATGATGTAAAATACATGAGCTTCAGTTCAGTAGTTTTGAAGATTCATTCATTTAAAGCTTAAATAAAACTAATACATCATCGTTAGTGGGGATCAATACATTTGGCAGCAAAGTAATTTAAAAATGAAGAATGAACTGACCCGTTAGGCAAGTGAATGTTGAAAATGGCCACCATGACTCTCCATGCAATAACAAAGATTTTGCTCAAAACGCTGCCGCACATTTTGCAATATTTGAGTAATAATTTGAAGGCACTCATTCACAATTCTTTGTCGCAGGTCTTCTAATGATGCTGGCTAAGTAGCATAGATTTTGCTTTTTAAATGAACCCACATAAAGAAATCCAAAGGTGATAAATCTGGCGATCTTGGGGGCCATTCAATGGCACCTCTTCTACCAATCCATTGATCTGGAAACGTCTGATCTAAATATTGTCGAACACGTAATGCGTAATGTGGTGGGGTACCTTCCTGTTGGAACATCAACCTATTCGCAATGTACCGCCGATCATTCTGATTTTCAATTATGGCTGTTAATGCAGGATCTATAGCATCTTCCAGTAATTCCAAATACATTTCACCGGTCAAATTTCCAGGTAAGAAAAAGGGACCAACTAAATGATAGCCAAAAATACAAGCCCAAACATTTAATTTTTGTGGCTGCAGTGTATGAACCTCATGATAAATTCTGGGATTAGAATCGGACCAATATCGGCAGTTATGACGATTTACTACGCCATTTAAGAAAAAGGAACATTCGTCGGAAAAGCAAGTGTTGAATAGAAAATGTTCATCGTTTATAATTCGTTCACTCATACCTTCACAAAATTGTAATCGCCGATCAAAATCATCATCAATAAGTTGTTGTACCAGGTGATTTTTATACCGATGAAAACTATCGGCCTTTAGAATCCGTTGGACAGTACGTCGACTAACACCACACACAGTCTCCAATTTGCGGGTACTTAACGTAGGATTTACATAAACTTGCCCTAAAACTCCCAATTCTATTGCTTCGTTCCTTATGGGATTTTCAATGTTGCGTTTCTTATTGGCGACTGACCCAGTTTACCGAAATTTAGCTACAAGTTCTAGAACATATTTTCGATGCACGTTACTGTTCTCATGTCGCTCATTAAATATTTCTGCTGTTCTATTAGCGCACCGATTATTTCCGAAAAATATTTCGATAATTTCAACTCTTTCTTCTGTGGAATATACCTTGGTTAATTTATGTAATAAAGCGTTACAAGTTATTTTAGCACCAAAGTTTGGTCAAATCAACCGCAAACTATGTACTAAATTCCTATTTAAAATAAGTACGAGATATTTCCTTATCTTTCTTCAAGAAATAACTTTTTTGCCACAAAAAAACGCTCCAATAGCTATTTTCAACAACAAAATGATAAACAAACCATGGGCGTAGTGAAGAAAAGCATTCACTTATTAAGTAAATTCTTTTAGTCAAATTTCTTCTGAAAGTGGTATAAACTAATTTGATGTACCTATTAAAGTCTACTTTAAGCTCATATCTAAATCTTCAAAACTACTTAACTGAAGCTCAAGTTTTTTACATCATTATAAATAAAGGGAATTGAAAGACCTTTAAAATAAGGTATCACTAGACCCTCCTTCCATTTAAGATTTTAGGGTTGGTGTCTCCCCCACCCAGGGGGCTGCACGTGTTAACGTGATTTTTTGCCAAACTTGTGTCTCCCTCGAAAACAAAATCGACGGGTCTGAGCGTTTTTCCAAAAAAAACTGAGCTGCCAGTAAATGCGTCTGTTTCGTTTTCGATACGCCACCCTGTATAATAAAATCGACATATGTATATGGTGCTTCATTTTCAATAAAAACATTTTTCGAAATATTTCAATTTAATTTGAAGATCATAAATTGTATCTGCGATATCCTGTACAATAGATTCTTCACATTGACAAGCAAGAAAGCGTATAACCAATATAATGGAACATCAAAAGTAGCGTTATTAAAATATCACATCTTATCCTCAAATATGAGAGGCGCCAAATTCAAATTTAAGCTAGTCAAAACAAGAATGATTTTCTTGTAGGTTTTTTATCGATCCTTACCGCTACATTGATGATTTTGACGTGTAAAACCATAAGTTGCAGTATTCCTAGTCCCAAGATTTTCTCTTGCAACTTAGGATTCATCGTGAGGAATTTTACGGCACCATAACCATATACACACGCTTCAGCGTCGTCCAGCGGACTGGATCTGCCCAAAGCGTCCAAAAACAATTCTACAATGCAAGATAATGTATGAAACTTAACAAGAAAATCTCTATATCTATAACTTTTCCTTGTAGCATACCGGGTGTCCCAGAAGATGACGTCAAGCGGGAAACGGGGGATAGTCCTAGTCACAATAGTTATTAGAAAAATATAAAAAATCCAAATCGAGTAAATTATAGGCTTTAAAAAAATCGGAAAAATACGGAAAAATCTGAACCCTGTGATGATTTTTTTTTTGTTCTCATTACTACAAATTTCAATTTTTCTTAGACGGAATGACGGACAGTATCATTCTACGTAGTCAATGCAAGACAAATAGTAACGCCACTTTTATTAATTCTTGATTTTCTAGTGCCACCATGTCTGTGTATACCGTACAGGAATACGCCAACTTGCACCTCAAATAGGAAATGTAGATGCAATGCTAGTGCTGCCGATATGCTTTATCGTGAGAGGTACCCAAATACTGCCGTCATCCCGATCACCGAATTTTGTGAATTTGCACCTTTTACCCTCAGATGGACGATTCCCAAGCACATGGTGAAGGAATAATTTCCTTTCCTCATGAGAACTTCGCACTACAAGCAGTCAAAGAAGACCGGAGTATTTCAATACTTCAAATAGGAGCAAGAGTGCAACAGTACAGCCCAATTTCTACAACCCCGGGATTATGTTCCAAGAGTTGCGTTTTGTCAAACAATGTTACAGAGAAATCGGGAAGATCCGCGATTTTTAGAAAAAAAATTATGGACTGATGGGTAGACATTTAAAAAAGATGCAGACACATTTGATAAGACAAGATAGAGATAACAGTATCGTTTTAAAGTAAACATGTGGACCGGGATTCTAAATGGGAGTATCATTGTACCTTTTGAGCTGGCAGACTTAGTTCTTGAATGATTTTAGAAAATCAATTTTCAAATTTATTGGAAGATGTGCCACTAAGCTTTTACAGAGACATGTGGTTTCAGCACTATGTCCGTTCAGTTAGAGAATATCTTGATGCAGAATACCCGAGCAGATAAATAGGGAGGTCTGGTACAATTTAGTGACCAGCCCGTTCACCTGACTTAAATCTACTCGATTTTTTACAGGGGAGCGGGTAAGAGAAAAAGTTGACTCAAAGACAATACAAAATTTAGCTGAGTTGCGGGCCAGAATAACGGAATCAGCTGAATTTGTTAATAACAGAAGAGTCGCCCGCCTGATAAAGCGATCATTTTTAAGAAGATATCAAGCTCGCATTACTTTCAAATTAATAAAAGTGCTGTTTTGCTGTCACTACGTAGAATGTCACTATCCGTCACTCCGTCCAAGAAAAAAATGAAATTTATAGTGGTGGAAACTAAAAGATCATCACAGCGCGTAGATTTTCCGATTTGTTTTCCAAGTCTCAAATTTGAAAAGTACACGACTTAGTTTTTTTATATTTTTCTGATAACTATTATGACTTGACCTATCTCCCGTTTCCGGCTTGACGTCGACTTCTGGGACACCATGTATACACCAAAGTCTTAAGATAACCGAGGTATTAGGTATGCTTTGCAAAATCAATCAAGCCTAAAGCAAACCTAATCCGCCCCTGTATTTCGATCGGATCAAAACTGAGAAGGCTGGATTCCCGTCAGTACTTAATGAGTGCCGGCAGCGTAGGTAAACAAAACATTTACAAACTGTTCAAAAAAAATAATAAAATGGCACTTTCGTACAGCAATATCGAGAGTTTGTTGTGATTTGCTTTTAATTTATGGTGAGCGTCTTCGAAGTGGCCAGGCAAGTGCAAGTCTCCAAGATGGATAACGCGGGGTAATGATGGTTCTGCAAGTCCTCCAAGCTGAAGATTTTCTTGCAAGAGTGCTTTTTTTGTGGCTGGTTGTTGCAGCCATATTACGAATCAACCTTGACGCGTAACTTCCGAAATACTCATGTGTGGTCATTGGAAAATCCACATGTAATCTGTCGGTCACATTTTCAACAGACGTTTTTTTTGAACATTTGGGCTCTCATGATAAATGTTCATTGAACATTTTGTACTAAGTGACATATAAATCCGAACACCCAGTTTAAATGGTTTTATTTTAATAAAATTTTGTATAAGTACTTAATGAAGCATAATAAGTAAATGATAAAAATTTCAAAATGATTGCACTGCTTTAAAGCCTTTAATAATGTGTGGATGCACCCTGATGTGCTACGCATTCTCCAACGCGCCTAGGCATGCTTCTGATCAGGTGGTCAATGTCCTCCTGTGGTATCTCATTCCAGGCAACCACCAACTCCTCTCGAAGTGCTTCTAGAGTCTGAGGAGGACGTTGCAAATTGAGCAATCTCCTACCCATCATATCCCACACGTGCTCAGTTGAGGATAAGTCGGAAGATCTTGGTGGCCATGGTAACAATGTGACATCATTATGTTGAAAGAAGTCTATTGTGACTCTTGCAACATGTGGTCGGGCATTATCTTGTTGGAAAGTTGGATCTGCCAGGGTGTCAAGATAGGGTAAAAGATGGGGTTCTAGAACTTCGTGGAAAGGTGACCTGGAACCATAAGCTATAGCACCCCAAACCATAACTCCAACAGTGTGATGAACATGTCTTTCAACAAAAAACTGTGTATTCCTCGTTTCACCACGTCGCCTTCTAACCCTGGCACGACCATCGTGCATGCCTAAACAAAATCGAGACTCGTCACTAAAGACAATACTGTTCCATTCCTGATCCCAGAGTGACCGTTGTCTGCACCACTCAAGGCGATTACGTCGGTGTTCTCGAGTTAAAGGGAGGACCCAGTGTGGCCGGTATGAAAACAAGCCAAAACTTCTCATTCGTCGGTAAACACTTCGCATGCCAATAGGTCTTCCGTGTTCTGCAAACCATTCATTTGCAATGGACCTGGTCGTGGTCCCTTAAGGCCAATAATCTTAGGCGGCGATCTTCACGGTCTGTTGTTCTACGGCGGCGTCCAGTGCCCCTTGCTCTTTGCGTACGGCCTTCTCGAAGCCATGCCTGACAACACCTAACCACAGTGTCTACACTTCTTTGCACTCTAACTGCAATTGCCCGAAAAGAAAGTCCAGCTTCCCGAAGTCCCACTATACGGCCCCTATCAAACTCACTAAGTTGACGAAATCGTACAGGTCTCCGTACTCTAGGCATCGTAACCGATCGTAAAGGATGTCAAGAACCAAAATCCGCCAACGTTGATTCTTTACTGCGGCTGAAATATTCATTTTTAGAGCGTTAGTGAATTAAAAAAAAAGCAGTATAAAAACCGGAATGTCCAACTCATAAGGCTGAAAATTTTTTCACTTGTTATTTACAGTAAGATAAATACATTCACCAACTTTTATTAAAATAAAACCATTTAAACTGGGTGTTCGGATTTATATGTCACTTAGTATATTTTCCTGAATTGGCTAGACGGTTTACAATACCTAGACCTTCTACGAAACATTTTACCAACGGCAACAACTTCGAACAGTATTTATGTGATAGAGCCGGACTTGAAATTTCTCAGCAAATGAACGGTGGGTACCTTTTCATTCGTTTTTTTAATTATTCGCTACTGTTTTGTTATTTGAAGCGTAGTTGTTTCTGACAACAAATGCTCGAACATTCAGGACACCCCGTGTATAATAATTGCATTTTTTTGTAAAACAGACAAACTAATATTTCTGTCAGCCATTGCAATCGACAAGATGTTGGAATCATTCTATTATCGGGAGTTTTGTACTCCGCCGTGTCTAAATCTTTAGATTGAGTTTACGTGCACAATGTTTGACATTGACCCCATTTTTAGATAGACCTTACATATTTCTAGGATCTGAATTCACTAAATGACCTGCTTCTTGGAGTAGTATATGTATGCATAGTTACCTAATAGGTTTTTCTGGAAGAATAGTTGGTCATTTTTATCATTCTTCGCAAGCTTGAAAATAAGCTTGCAGACCCCACTCAGATTATTGCCTGTAACTTTTAGCTATAAACAAAGGACAATATTAATCATCGTCAATATAATAATAATAATGTTTATTGGCCGTCTAACTACTACTACCGTGAAAGCAACTTTGATGTATTTTATATACGTACCGATAAAATGACTTTCGCTATGTTTATCAGAATATGTTCGTTCTGAGACTCCACGAATCTGTATAAGCACTTGAGTATTTTGACCTTGAGTTTTGAAGGCACTTTTTTATTCATCGGGTTGTCCTTTTCCATAAATTTGTACAGCTCTTCAAGTAGAGAAACAATCTTCTTGTCATTTCCGCTTTTTCCATGTTCATTGTTCAGGTCATCCAATACGTCTTCTAAATTCCTTTCTCGTTTCTGATCTGCGATAGTAAATATTGTTTACTTAACTGGCTCTCAAAATATCGCTAGAGTCTAGAAAACTACTGAAGCTATCAAAACAGACAGAGGTCAGCCCAGTTGGATTCAACAGGTGGTGACTATGTTAAAATGTTTCGGTGCAATCTTCTGGCATGCCCTAGAAGCACTAGTGTCAGAAGTACTAAAATTAATAACGCACGAGCAAATAATATTAAAATCCCCTATTAACCCTAGGACCCTGCACGAATAAAAAAAGGTAATAAATAAATTGATAAGACTATTCCTACATGAAAATAGGTTTCCTTATTTGAAAAATAACATGTTTTTGAATATTACATTGATTGCAGAGTGAAATGAATGATAACTTGGTTCTAGATAAAATTAAAAAAAAATTAATTGAACGGTGATTTTGATTTAACAAGGACTTCAATTGATAATCATAATAATTGTCAAAAAGAATAATGGGTCATCGCCCATATTTGTTTGGTCAGTGATACAACATATATTTGAAATTCTCAAGAGTGTCATATACTGAATAATGTCACCATTGTGTCTGAAAGGTTTATTAGAGAATTTCAAATATATCTGGTTTCATTGGTCAGACAAACATAGGAGATTATTGACATGAAAACAGCAGGATAGTAAGATCCAGATGTTACATTAAACCCAAAGGTTTTAAGAATATTCAGTGGGTCACTTCTAAAAGACAACTGAATGTTTTCTGTATATCGCTCTCCTCTAAACAAGTTCTCTTTCTGATGCAATATTTTTTTTTTTTTTTATATCGAAACAGCCGCGCAGGCCAAAGCCTAAATGCCGGAACACCGCGGCTGCTATGATGATCCCAAAGAAATTTTGTTAATACGATTTTTGAACTGTCTAAGGTTAGTAGAACTGGGAAAAGCTTCCTCCCGTAGATTGTTCCACAATCTAGACACCCTCGGAACAAAGGAGCGGTCGTATCGGCCAGTTCTGGATGTACGAAGTTTGACACGGTTAGAATGGGACGCCGAAGTCAGGCGGGTCTGTGTGGCAGGCACATCGCGCGGCGGCATCATGGAAGAGAGCTCTGAGGAGCAAAGCCCGTTGGTGTAGTGATAGAAAAGAGCCAGATCGCCGACGGCCCGCCGGTGCGAAAGAGTCCCGAGACTGTCTGTTAGAGAAGAGTCATCGATCAGTCGGACCGCCCTCCTCTGGACAGGATCGAGCATGGACAATGTAGTCGGGGCGGCAGCACCACAAATGTGTGAGCAATACTCGAGGCTAGGCCTTATCTGGGCCTTGTATAGAGTGAGAAGGTCATGCGGAGAAAAGTACTTCTTAGCCCTAAACAAATAGCCTAGCTTTTTCCCAGCAGCTGCAGCTATTGTAGAGATGTGTTCGTGCCAGATCAGTTCCTCGGTGATCTGGACTCCGACCAGCCGAAATGAATGGCTCTTTGGTAGAACTCGACCGTCCATCGAAACTGTATGAGCGCTAGGACGCTTTTTGTTCGTCAAAGTACAGTACTGTGTTTTGGAAGCATTGAACTGTACAAGATTGTTGCGTCCCCAAGCAGTGATAGCTTCCAGGTCTCTTGTCAGAGAAGAAGTCGTCGCTAGTCTTCTTTTTTCCAGCTCAGCGGCAGACATCGGCTTGTCACTCTGAATTCCTGCATGTAGAGTGCTGTCATCAGCGAAGCTGTGGATTGGGATGATCGTGCAGGAAAGGAGGTCGTTGATATGTAAGAGAAACAGTGTTGGAGCCAAGACCGATCCCTGGGGAACACCCGCGTTGACGTTGTGGGATGAAGAGGAGAATCCGTCAATTACGACGGATATCTTGCGGCCAGAGATAAAGTCAGCCACCCATCTGCAAAGCTTTTCTGGGAGGCCGTAGGATGGAAGTTTGCTTAAGAGGGCAGCGTGCCACAGCTGATCGAACGCTTTCGTGATGTCAAGAGCAACGACATGAGCCTCACCATGAGACTGGATGAGTTTACTCCACAGTTGCGTGACGTAAGCTAGGAGGTCCCCTGTGGATCGTTGGTGCCGCAAACCGTACTGCCTGTCGCTAATCAAGCTGTGACGTTCGAGGTAGTCTAGAAGCTCGCGATTTATGCACCTCTCCATCACTTTACTTATAACAGAAAGCAGAGCTATAGGCCTGTAGTTGTAAGGGTCGGTTTTAAATCCTTTTTTTGGGATGAGCTGTACATGAGCAAATTTCCAGTTTTCAGGGAAGGTGCCGGATTCATAAGATATCTGGAAGAGACGCGAAAGAACTGGAGCAAGCTCCGCTGCACATCTCTTCAGTACAATGGCAGGAATCAAGTCCGGACCAGAAGCTTTGTTGATGTCGAGCGACAAGAGCACTCGTCTTACGGTCTTATGCCTGAATGTTACCTCCCGCATAGTGTGGGGAACCCTTTGAATTGACGGCACTTGGGCGTTGGTGGGGACGTCCATGGTGGAGTTGGCAGCAAAGATCTTGGCTAGCACTTCCGCCTTGGCCTTTGAGTCGAATACAATAGTTCCATCCTGACACGTAAGTGGTGGAAGGCTACGGTTTGAGAAGTTCTTTTCAATCTGCTTGGCCAGCGTCCAGAAAGACCGACTGCCATTGCGCTGCGACATTACCCTGTGCCTAACTTTTATATCATGCTGGTTTTTGGCATTGCGTACCGCTTCGTTATATTTGTTTCTGGAGGCGACGTCGGCTTGTCTGTTCTCTACAGTGGGGTTTTGTAAGTAGGTTCTGTGGGCCTTGATCTTCTGCTGGTGAGCAGTGTCACACGATTTGTTGAACCAGCCGTTGGGCCCTGGTTTAGGAACTTTCACTGTGTGAGGGATGTATTCCTCCATTCCGACGTGGATAATTTCGGTTATTGAAGAACAGACAGTCGACGCATCCGCGTCAGTGAAACAGACATCTCTCCAAGGAAAGCTAGAGAAGAAGTCTCTGAGCCCCTCCCAGTCGGCATGTCCGTAATGCCAAGTTTTGCGGCCTGTGCGAGTTTCTGCTGCCACAGCGGCTTCTGACCGAAACCTAACCTCCACAACACCGTGATCTGAGTTACCCAGGGGGGACAGGACAGCAGTGCTGTAAGGGGCAGGATGCGTGGTCAAAAAGAGATCCAGCAGGCTACTGGCGTGTGACGAGACGCGGGGGAAAAAAGTAGGGCTCGTCACCAGCTGGGTCAGCCCTTGAGTAAGAGCGAACGCTTCGACTGCACGACCTGCTGCATCGGTCTTATTTGAGCCCAACCAAAGCTCATTATGGGCATTGAAATGACCGAGAAGAGCTACCTCTGAAGCGGGGTGATTGACGTTCAGGAAGTCGATCTGGACTGCGAGGTATTCGAGTAGATTATCCCAGTTATGGTTCGAGGGAGAGCGATAAAGGCAGCAAATATATTTGGGTGATGTTTTGGAGTTGAGGCGAAGCCACAGAATGTCCTTCCGGTCTGATTCCAAAGAACGATCCCTGGAGCAGGAAAGACTGCTGCGGACAAAAGCCACAACTCCCCCGTTCTTTCTCAGAGTGGAGTGCACCTCGTAGTTTGGGAAGTTGAGATGGTTAATCGGTGCAGTCTCTGAGATTTTTGTCTCCGCCAAGAAAAGCACGGCGGGACGATTGGATTGCAGGTAGTGATGAACAGCATCAATGTTGCTGTTGATCCCGCAGATGTTCGAAAAACAAATTTTATCTTCGATGTTGTTCCCTCGAGCCCACCCTCCACCCGGACATTCCGAGAGTGGAGTGAGTGCTCGAGGAATCCATCATCATTAATTTCTTTGTTTTGGTAGATAACCGACTGCATAGCTTAGGTGTGGAAACATGCGGACATTTATAAGACACTCTGGGAAAAGCTAGAGGGTGGTACTGCCTCGGTCGACTGGTCCTTGTCTACCACCTTCTTTTTACATGTTAGTGATGTTAAATAGACCTAAAGTGGCCTGTTGGCGGACTTGTACCGCCACCCGGCAATCGGTACTGAGGTATTCCTTAACGCGTGCACAATCACTTGGACGGGAAGAAGTTGTATACTGGATACAACAACTTCTGGAACACGCATTTGCCACGGCCCTCGCTCAGTAGGGCGGACCTATACCACTACTACAATCAAAATGTACTCGTAACGTGTAATAAAGTCATAAAAGCTATCTTCCAATTATTATTTATGGGATGTGTTAATGCTGCATTAGCGCTTCAGCTGTTAGCAAAAACATAGTGCTAGCAACAATAGGAGTACACTTTATCATTGGCATGTGGTATTTTTTTGTTGGGATACCATCCAAAATCAGGCGGGTTTGGCATTCTATACCAGTGACATTCTCCCGCAGTGACGTTGGCTCCGAGGATTTGATAATGTTAGTTACAGGTTATTGAACCAAAGAAATAAAAAATCATCATTTTTGGAGATATCGACCTTTGAGATAATAGTTTATGGACTTGCCACTGACATAATCGGAGCCAAGGTCACTGGGAGTGAAAGTCGTTCTTATAGAACGCCCAATTTGTCTCTACTGGGAAATGCAGTTAGCGATCTGGTTTCCGTTAATTTTGGAACAGTAATTTTGTGCAATTGAAATTAACAAGCAGCACAAGAAAACCTAAAAAGCATGTCACATCGCTACCCTCTACCACACATCACTACAAATGGGAGAAGCCTTACTGATAAATACAGAATGTTGGTTATGTTGGGACGGAAAGTAACCTGATCTTAAGAAAAGCGTCTGAGAGTTTTCCACGATATGCCTGTTGTCGAAGATCTTTTCCAAGTTCTGGGGCTCCAATAACAAGCATTGCGAGAGTGTTTGTCTGTTAGACGGCCGATCAAAGACGTTTTCTGATTTTGTGTATTCCGTTGACTCTTGCGGCGAACTGAAAGCGTTGCGAGATCCTGGTTTTGGTTGGTCCACTGGTTCTGTTTCTTCTGGAACTGAAATTAAACATTCCCGTAGATTAGTCAACCCATAAAAGTAAAATCTGATGAGACTAGGCGTATGACAACTTTATAAGAATTGCCTCAAGTACATTAATTCTGTACTTCCCACTCAATTTAGCGATTAACTAGATTACGAGAGTGGTCCCAGAAGTACCCGGCCTGACCTAGAGAGGGCGATATTTGTTTGGCAGCCATCAATACTGAACGTTTTCAATGAATTTGTGAAAATGGAGAAAATTGGTCATCGTTATGTGGTACAATACTACTTCGTTTACAACAGTAAGATATTGGGTAGCAGAGTTTAAACGAGGCCGTATGAGCTGCCAAGGCGAGCATTGCAGTGGTCGACGAAATGAGGTGACGACTCCAGAAATGGTGAAGAAAACTCACAAAGCGGTACTGAATGATCGACGACTGAAAGTGCGCGAGCTAGCAGACATAGTAGGCATTTCAAAAAGTGCGGTTCATCGCATATTATCTGAAAATTTGGACATGAGAAAGCTGTGTGCAAGATGGGTCCCGCGATTGCTCACAATCGAGCAAATACAGTGTCGTGAAGATGTTTCAATTGAGTGTTTAGCGAAGTTTCACAGCAACAAAGCATAACCATGGACGAAACATGGGTCCATCACTTCACACCCAAGACAAAAGAACAATCAAAACAATGGACTCAATAAAGACCGTTTCATCTGCAGGCAAGGTTATGGCGTCGGTTTTTGGGATATGCGTGGGATAATTTTCATTGACAATCTTGAAAAAGGTAAAACTATCAACGGCGAGTATTATGCGAACTTATTGCAACGTTTGCAAAAACGGCCGCATTTGGTTAAGAAGAAGGTGTTGTTTCATCAAGACAATGCACCAGCTCACAAATCCGTTATTGCAATGGCCAAAATTAACGAATTAAAGTTTGAATCGCTACCTCATGCAACCCTATTCACAAGATTTAGCCCCCTCGGATTATTTTCTGTTTCCAAACTTGAAGAAATGTCTCAGTGGTCAAAGATTTTCCAACGGTGAAGAAGTGATGTCGGCAGTTAATGTCTATTTTGAGGAGCAAGACAGTTCTTATTATAAAAAGGGTATCGAACGTATTGAACATCGCTGGTAAAAGTGTATAGAGCTCAAAGGAGATTATGTTGAAAAATAAATACATTTTTTTACAAAAATTTTCTGTTTTCTACATTGGGTCGGGTACTTCTGGGACCACCCTCGTATGTTCGGTTTATTAGCAGACTGACTGACCGACCGAAGGAAGTAAGTGTTTTTCGTGATCTCATATAACATCCATGTCAATCATTTTTGAAATGTTTCGCAATTACAATCGCTCCTCGCCAACTGGCGTGGGAAGTAAGATATAAACAGACAACTTACGATTATCCAAAGAAGTGGTATTCAGAAACACCTTCCTCTTCTGAAGCGGTCTACAAGTTGTCCCTAGAGAAGGTAACTTCATTTTATGTTGAGCCGGATCTTTGACAGCGATGTTGAAGATGGTGTCGTTGATTTCAGTCAATGAGTTGGACCTTTGGTGTTTTAACGATTTGCTTCTGCCCTTCGCAGAAGGAATCAGGGACTTTGAGGTAACCATTGTAGAGCAGGCTAGCAGGCTGTTGTCTGGAGGGGTTTGAGGCAGGTCGGTTTCATTTTGGAGGTACCGGAGGCTGGAAAATGAGGTCATGTAGGTTGATTTCGTTCTATACATTAATATTAATTTTCTAAGCCTGGGAATTCCATATACAGGGTGTTTCACAACTTATTCCACAAATTTTAACTACATATGCACTGTTACGAAAGAACTTGATTTCTAAAAAAATGTAAAGTCCTACATAAATTAAGTTATAAACCTGAGTTTCAATAATAAATTGAAAAATAAATATTTGTATTTTGCGTTCATCTTCGTGAAATTAGAACGCGCATTAATAATTTATTGTAGCAAATGTTGTACCAAACAATTGACGAAAACAAAATACCACGAATTTTTTGTTTTTTCATACTGATAAGAACGTGCAAATAAGGTTGAATCTGTATCGTGGGTGATCTGAATGAAGAGCGGTCGATTTTTGTGAAGTAAGAAAATATTTTGCGAGTTTACGTTTTTAGTTATTTATTAATAAAAATGGCACATGTATACACTAATGAGGAGTTAGTGCACATTGTTTTAGCGTACAGAGAAGCAGGGCGTAATTCGCGAGCGGCTTCTAGTCTGAATAAGGTATACCAGATACGCTGGATCGGAAGGTGTGGACCAATTGCATGGCCTCTACGGTCTCCCGATCTAAATCCTCTGGACTTCTTTTTATGGTGATACTTGAATAACGATGTATACCGTACTCCAGTTCAGAATATTGAAGAATTGCGTGACAGAATCACAGTGGCTGCCGATAATTTGAGCCTTCAGGCACAGCAGGAATTTTGAACAGCTTTTATATACTAAGTGACATATGAATCCGAACACCCAGTTTAAATGGTTTTATTTTAATAAAATTTTGTAGTACTTAATGAAGCATAATAAGTAAATGATAAAAATTTCAAAATGATTGCACTGCTTTAAAGCCCTTTAACCTTTAATAATGTGTGGATGCACCCTGATGTGATACGCATTCTCCAACGCGCCTAGGCATGCTTCTGATCAGGTGGTCAATGTCCTCCTGTGGTATCTTATTCCAGGCAACCACCAACTCCTCTCGAAGTGCTTCTAGAGTCTGAGAAGGACGTTGCAAATTGAACAATCTCCTACCCATCATATCCCACACGTGCTCAATTGGGGATAAGTCGGGAGATCTTGGTGGCCATGGTAACAATGTGACATCATTATGTTGAAAGAAGTCTATTGTGACTCTTGCAACATGTGGTCGGGCATTATCTTGTTGGAAAGTTGGATCTGCCAGGGTGTCAAGATAGGGTAAAAGATGGGGTTCTAGAACTTCGTGGATATAACGCTGCGCGTTCATGTTACCTTTGATGAAGATTAAAGGTGACCTGGAACCATAAGCTATAGCACCCCAAACCATAACTCCAACAGTGTGATGAACATGTCTTTCAACAAAAAACTGTGGATTCCTCCTTTCACCACGTCGCCTTCTAACCCTGGCACGACCATCGTGCATGCCTAAACAAAATCGAGACTCGTCACTAAAGACAATACTGTTCCATTCCTGATCCCAGAGTGACCGTTGTCTGCACCACTCAAGGCGATTACGTCGGTGTTCTCGAGTTAAAGGGAGGACCCAGTATGGCCGGTATGAAAACAAGCCAAAACTTCTCATTCGTCAGTAAACACTTCGCATGCCAATAGGTCTTCCGTGTTCTGCAAACCATTCATTTGCAATGGACCAGGTAGTGGAGAAACGGTCCCTTAAGGCCAATAATCTTAGGCGGCGATCTTCACGGTCTGTTGTTCTACGGCGGCGTCCAGTGCCCCTTGCTCTTTGCGTACGGCCTTCTCGAAGCCATGCCTGACAACACCTAACCACAGTGTCTACACTTCTTTGCACTCTAACTGCAATTGCCCGAAAAGAAAGTCCAGCTTCACGAAGTCCCACTATACGGCCCCTATCAAACTCACTAAGTTGACGAAATCGTACAGGTCTCCGTACTCTAGGCATCGTAACCGAACGTAAAGGATGTCAAGAACCAAAATCCGCCAACGTTGATTCTTTACTGCGGCTGAAATATTCATTTTTAGAGCGTTAGTGAATTAAACAAAAGCAGTATAAAAACCGGAATGTCCAACTGATAAGGCTGAAAATTTTTTCACTTGTTATTTACAGTAAGATAAATACATTCACCAACTTTTATTAAAATAAAACCATTTAAACTGGGTGTTCGGATTTATATGTCACTTAGTATAAATAAGTGAACTGTTAAACTGTATTATTTTATTGTCTCGATTTCTGTAGGAATTTTATTACATTTTTTTTGAGAAATAAACTTCCTTCGTAACAGTGCATATGTGGTTAAAATTTGTCGGATAACTTATGAAACACCCTGTATATTTTGTTTTAACTAATAGAGATCATGTATGATTGATTTGGGTATACGTATAAATACTATTTTTCCAAGCACAAGAATTCTAAATAAGTTTTGAGATTACATCAACGTCAGTTCAGTAAAAGTAGTTCAAACATATATGAGTATGTTCGGTAGACTTATCAAATTAACATAAGTACAGTATTTTTTTTATGTTTTGATAGTTTCGATACTCTTTTTGAAGATGACGACCTTTTTTGTCTTTTCTAACTTTAAATTTGCAGTCTTTTATAAATAGAGCATGATTCGATAAAAACAATACTGTTTGCAAGATACAGATATAAATGAAATTAAGACACAAGGATTTATAGTTATACAGGGTGTTCCTTAATGATATGAAAATATTTAAGGGTGTGAAATCTACATGAAAAATTAATGTTAGTTTACTTTATAAACTATGGTCCAAAAATGTTTGCTTACAAAAACTCGGGGGGCCCCAAAAATGGCCACCAGGGTCCCCAGACCTCAACAGTTTAGATTTCTTTTTGTGGGGCTATCTTAAGACACTAATGTACACAAGGCCCATTAACACTGTAGAGGAATTAAGAAAAAGAATAGTTGCAGCTTGTGATAGAATAAAACACACTCCAGGGATATTTCAACGAGTGCGCAATTCCATGAGAAGGAGGTCAGTAGCATGCAATTCTAAGTGTAACTATTTTTATAATCATTTCGTTGGTTTTAATGTTATGTTTATGTTGTCAGTTGTTGTTGTTCATTACTCCTAATGTGTTTAATTTTTCCAATTAAATTAATAATAATTTTGCAAGTTAGACAATAGAACGTTTTTTTTTACTCAAAAATGGCGCATCGAAGGAAAACAATTCAGCAGAGATCATTTGTTTTAAATTGAACGGGGAATTCAAAAATAATTTTGTTTGGCAAAAAAACATTAGCGTACCATTTTTTTCTTAAAAAATGTCGAAGTCAATACCCGTACGCACGCCACTGTTAAAGCTAAAAATTAATTTTGCATTGAAAAATATGCAACTCTATCAACTTCCACTACGTACTAAATATCAGTGAAATATCTGAAGCGGTTCCGAAATTATTGATTAATTTCCATTTTTTTCCTAAAACTTCAACACCCCGAGTTTTTGTGAGGAAACATTTTGGACCATAGTTTATAAAGCAAACTAACATTAATTTTTCATGTAGATTCACATCCTTAAATATTCGCATATCATTAAAGAACACCCTGTATACAATCAATCAAGAAATGGTGTGACGACAATAATTATCAATGTTAATAAGACATGACAATGACATTTAAATGCTCCTTTGATTTTATAAACTTAAATAAGGAATTTATACCCAAAACAGACACCATCAAATTCTTGGACTGACCATTGATCATAAATTAGATTATACTCATCCCGAAGACAAATTGCTTACTCAACTATCAAATATTTCCTTATAATAATAAGAACAGTTAGTTAGAACGCAAGGAAAAGCGCAACCTTAAGCAGTTGTGTCTCATTTGGAAGTAAATTGAGATACAGCATTCCCTTTTGCTGTGTATGTTCCCAAAATTATTTTAAAAAACTGCTTATTCGATCGAACTATTAGATATACAGGGTGTTTTCAAAGTTGATTCATTTATTTTAGCAGCTTGCAGAACTCGTCAAAAATCACCTATACAGGATGTTTCAGTTTATTGTTGCATAACTTTAAGATTCGATAGAACTTTTAAAATTAATGTATAAAGTCTGTATAAACATGGGTTGAAAAATGCGTGGCTTCCGAAATACAGGGTGTTTAAATTTACTTTCTAAAATAGTTTTTTTAAAATATTTCGAACAATATTTGATGTATAACAGTGAAAATTGGTATACAAGGGTTTTTTGGTACGACAAAACGAACCATGTTTTACTGTAGCCGCTAGAGGGCGCTCTCTACTGTACCTGTAGTGTATTAAAATGATCGAAAAATTTTTCTTAGTGCAATTTTTTGCTTTTTGAATAAAAAAAACTGATTCTTCGCACTTTTCAACATAAAAAAGCTCTCTTGTGAATTTTCGTTATAAATAGCCTTTTTGGAGATATTTCGATTTTTAAGGTTCGATGCATTTTTAATTATTTATGATAAAATAACGTTAAAAAGTCAGTATCTCGATAATTTTTAGAAGTAGGCTGTGCCTGCAAATATTTTTGAAATTGAAAGCAGAATAAGGTTTAACGTCAATTAGTTGACAGTTAGTTTTGTTGTCTGGTGAAACCTGAAACGTTTTTTTGCAATTGTGAATGCACGAAATTTAGTTTTATAAAAATGCCATATTTATTCTCCAATCAAGAGTTAGCGGATATTCATTTTGTGTATGGCTTTGTAAATGGAAACACAGCAGAAGCAGCCAGAGAATACGCACGAAGATCTCCATACAGATGACATCCAACTCGCTCAGTATTTGTAAGAGTGCATCGCCAAATAATTGAAAATGGTTTTGGAAATCTCCAAAGGGATCAAAACATAAATGTTCATCAGCGCAGATTTATCCGTGTGATTCTGCGTGAGTTTGATAGAGATCCGACCACAAGTGTTAGGAGAGTTTCTGGTGCCTTGGGAATTTCAGCAAGCCATGTTCACTGTGTTCTTAGAAATGACCATAGACGTCCTTACCATTTGCAACCTGTGCAAGGACTACAGCTAGGGGACGGAGAACGAAGAATCACATTTTGTCACTGGATTCTTGATAGAACTGATAATAATAGGGAGTTTTTAAGTAACGTTTTATGGACCGATGAGTCATGCTTCACTAGACGTGGAGTGGTAAATTTTCATAATCAACATATGAAGCATGAAAATTCGCATGAAGTTCGGGAAAGAAATTTTCAGCATGAATTTAGTGTGAACGTGTGGATAGGTATCTACCGTAAACGACTATTTGGACCCTACCTTTTGCCTGCAAGGTTAAATGCTGCGACCTTCTTGGAATTTTGAAAGGCTGAACATGCAAATATGTGGGATGATGTCCAGAAAGATGGATCGGCCGTGGAGGACCAGTCGCCTGGCCTCCACGATCCCCTGACCTAAATCCATCAGATTTCTTTGTGTGGGGATTTCTAAAAGAAAAAGTGTACCAGACTCCCGTAACCGCAAGAGATATGCTAATCGACAGAATCAGGAATGCATGTGATGAAATAAGGCCTTATTTGAATAATGCTATACCACGTTCGATCATTCGTAGATGTGAATTGTGTATTGAACAATTGGGTTTACATTTCGAGCAACTAGTTTAGATTTTGTATGTTTGTCCTAACTATCCAATAGCATTTTAGTTGTAAATAATTAATTTAACTTGTTAATAATAATATTGGAAAATTAAACAAATTAATATTCTGTGTTTATTTGGAGTTAGGAATTGTTGCTGTGTTTAAAAACACAATCTAAACGATCATCTTAATTACTTGTAATGCCCAAATCGAAAATGTAAAAAAAATATTATTTTCCCATAAATAATTATAAATGCATCGAACTAACTATAACGAAAACTCACAAGAGAGCTTTTTTATGTTGAAAAGTGCGAAGAATCAGTTTTTTATTCAAAAAGCAAAAAATTGCACTAAGAAAAAATTTTCGGTCATTTTAATACAGTAGAGAGCGCCCTCTAGCGGCTACAGTAAAACTGTGCCCATGGTTCGTTTTGTCGTACCAAAAAACCCTCGCATACCAATTTTCACTGTGATACATCTATCGAATCTTAAAGTTATGCAACAATAAACTGAAACACCCTGTATAAAAGTTCCATAGTAAGAGAGTTAATTTACATGATTAGAAATTATTAAAAAAAATCATTATCGAGTTAAATGGATACCGTTTTTACAAAAACTGTTCAAAATTGTTCGATTAACACAAAATCTTGCTCGGAGAATCTACGACTCTTTACAAGCTTCGAAATAAAATCCTGGTGTTGAATCACAACCATTTTCAGTGCGCTGTTGTAGTAAACCAAAAACGCTAAGATTTTAGACGGCAGCGGTCGAGAATATCAAAAAATCTGTGTAATAACATTCTTATTTTTTTTAAATTTTTAACCTTTTCCAGTTCTCTTATTATGCAACTTGTTTATAGGTGATTTTTGGTATATTAACTCCTACATGTCCTACAAGCAGTTAAAATCTTATCTTTCATAACATCCTGTATGACTAGAAGCAATCCTAGAGCGACATGCGGGCCTTCATTTCTCAATCTTAAAATAATAATGACCGTACCATTGCTCATTTTATAAACAGCAAAAAATCTAAATTTTAAACATTAAATATAAGTTACGGTATGAGATGAAAACAAGGTCTTGAATTAGTAATACGTAAATCAACAGTTTCGGAAGACTCAATAGTTTAGAATGATTTGAAAATTTACATATTATATCATAAATGAGTTCTACGATTCATTTACTTAAGATCCACATACAGGGTGATCATTTGAAAACTTCCCACCACGGATTCATCGAAAACCACTGATTAAAAGAGACACGTCAAAAGATTTGTCAAGGGAGACAAGTTTTAAACCAAAAACTACTTCACCCCCTGCCCACAGTGTCGTTCCCTTAAAAATTTTAAATGACAAGGGGTATCGAGTAATACCTTGTTTGAAAGGTCTTTCGAAGTCCTTTATTTTGACTTTTGATTTTTAAAATCGGTTGATTCGTTTTCAAGTAAAATTAGAAAAATCCCTATTTATCTTAATTGAAGACCAAATCGAAGAGGATGAAAACCCTATGCTTGATGAGGCTGAAATATATTTCCAGCAATACGGCGCTCCTCCTCACTATGTTTTTCCGGTTCGGCAATGGCTAGACGACGAGTTAGGGCGAAGAGGGCCCATAGAATGGCCTGCTGGATCTCCTGATTTGACGCTATTAGACTTTTTTCTAAGGGGCCATTTGAAATCTATTGAACCTGAAAGTTTGGATGAACTTCGTCAACGCGTCATCGAAAGCTGCCATGATATCCCACAACATGTTTTTGAAAATGTCCGTCAGGAATTTGAACATCGCCTATACCATTGTTTGGCCAATAACGGGCAACATTTTGAACACTTATTGGAATAAAAAGTGATATTTTCGTGTGTTTTTGTTTTCTATCTGAACAAATTAAGATAACTAAAGTTTTTTCTTGAAAACGAATTGATCGATTTAAAAAATCAAACTTCAAAATAAAGGACTTCGAAAGACCTTTTTAAACAAGCTATTACTTGATACCCCTTGTCATTAAAATTTTGACCCTGGGGGCAGAGGGTGAAAAGGGATGAAGTAGTTTTTGGTAAATCTTTTGACGTGTCTCGGCGTTGTTTCTTTTAATCAGTGGTTTTTGCTAAATCCGTGGTGGGAAGTTTTCAAATGTATGTAATTATGTTATAGGTCAGTTTCAGGTTAGCATTGTCTTTAAGAATGATTGTATTCTTTAGACAAGGCATATTTATCTATCTATATATCTGTTTGGATGAAATGTTACCTGAAAGAACTAGGTGGCCTATTGGTTTTGGTCTTTTCGCCGAACAAAAGCCGTTCCTTGTCCCTTGGTGTGAAAGGTCGTTGGGTCTGAATAGGTTTTATGCTCGTCGGAGCAAAGCTGTTTTCACCCATTTGGGATTCTGCAAAAGCATTCCATTATATTTTTGTTATATTAAACCTGGCTTAAACATTATTTATAACAAAGCAGATAATCTATTCTGCTCCGTAGCAGATTAACAAATACTGGACACAAATATTTCCAATGGGCTAGAATTGTACGAACCATTAACAAATAATGACTTTCACAACAAAAATCACCTTAAAAAATAATACAATGTCTCTATAAGCATAGTCTCTATATCGGGCTTTCCAAAAATGTTATCGTTGGTTCATATGATACATGATGTAAAAAAAATTATAAATGTTGCGTCTATGCTTGGCGATCTAAAGGCGTTATTTTCATGTTTGGTCCCAACTACTTACTAGCGGCCAGACAAACATGCAGGATCAGTTACTGAGCTTTCAAAACTCCGAAGAATGCTACCGTGTTATACAAAAGGTATCTGAGAATTACCGATATCCACCAGCGTCGTTTTGGGGGCCTGTGGCTCCGTAACGAAGCCTCGGAGGAAATTTTTATAGAAACGTGTGGCAATATTTTTTTCTATATGCATACGGCATATTGAGACATGCTGCTGGGACACTCTGTACAAAATGCTTGTGGTTCAAACTACATCAGTAGCGTAGAAATAGTAGTAGTGGTAGTAATATCAGTAAATGAAAAATAGTATCTATGCCACTAACTATTACATTTTTAAATATCGCATTTGATTTCACATAAAATATGAATTTTGAGATTAGTTAGTTTTAGTATTTTAGGTCTGTATAAAAAACTTAAATTCAGTTTGCTTGGAAAATTTCTTGAAGTTAATGAACTTTCACACCAAGCATTGTGTATACTATATTAGGGTAGTAATGCCATCTCACCACAAGGTTTTCTGTAGAATATTCACTTTATATAGCCGAACCAATAAAATGTCAGTGGTGTAGACCTTTACAACACCCTGTGTTTTGGTACAGACATTTTGTGACCTATACAGGGTGTAAAGTTATCGGGGGATCAACGTACATTTAAAAGTGACATTATGTCGGTTTTTTGTTGACATTATGTACGTTTTCCAACAAGACGTCAGCTTATAACTGTCGTCCACTTCATGCTCATCTATAGCAAGCACGGTATCATGTAAAAAACCTATAAAACGTCAAAAAAACCTATAAGATGTCATCTTGCAAACTAGGTAGTTTTTAGGGCGCAAACAGTCATTCCACGTTTGCTCACTAGGATCGTTGTGAACATCCATCTAAGGAGGAATCACTCAACTAAACTACACGCATTATTGGTTGCATATGTTTTGTGAGGCCAAATGGTCCTTGTCTGTAGTTTTTATCTCTGAGAAGAAAGTTGGTTGAGTAGCAAGATCGCATCTGGATGATTTATCTGTATTGGTCTAAATGTGTAAAAAGTCAGTGATATTTGCTGTGTGAGAAAATCATTACTGAATATGCTGCCAATGAAGTATATCTGTTGGCTGTGCTCCACGGGTTATTTTTATGTTGTGCTTTCTGAAGAGAGGTTATGTTCAAAGTTATAAATTACGAAAAACTGAGGAGAATTACGGGAAATCATCACCGCGCCCGCGTTCTGTGCAATTACTGTTAGCATGTATATGGCTTGTAATTCGACAGTACACAGTGAATTTTTCTTATCGCTCTCATTTTTGAAATTCATCAAATTTGTATATTTAATTTCGATAATGGATAAGAAAAAGGAGATGCGCAACTAATTTCTAGCTTTAAATCTCAATTAAGTGTATTCGAGACAAGATCCCAATATAATTTTCATCAACGCATACAACTTCCAGCTTAGACCTCCAGTAATACCATCTCAGAAGCAGATTTTACATCACATCAGAGCCAAAGATTGATAACAAGCCTCATGACGTTTAGGCAACACGTTCAACTAATTGCTAAGATAACATCTTGTAGAAAAACCTACATAATGTCAAAAAAACAGCATAATGTCAAAAAAAAAAAGGTATTCAAGATACGTGATACCCGTGCGGGATGAACTATTTGCACACTAGCCTACTTCGACAACAATTTGTAGTTTTTTGATACTATATAGGATTTTTACGTAATAACCTTGCTGATGATAGTGGACCTTCCGTGTTAACCCCTGAATGAGTTATACGAAATTCAATAGGCCAGGAAGATATTTCAATTATTGCGAAATGTTCATCTTAATTTTTTCTACCGAACCAGCCGCGGAGGCAGAAGCCTAAAAACCAGGGCACCGCGACTCCTATGAGGAGCTTGAAGAAACTTTCTTACTCCGATTTTTGAACTGTCTAAGGCTAGGATAGCTACAGTATTAGGTGTGCGGCTGTGATTTTCTGTCTAGAAGTAGTGAAATAGGTGGAAATCGTGTATTTTTGTAAATACTAGGCTGTTTTTATTACAAACTTAATAAAAGCCCGAATAAAAATGTAATGTTTAAACTTTTGCTAGATAGGTTCTGTCATCTCCTCAAACTGCCAAGGCCTGCCATTAAAAAAATTGCATCAACGTTTCTTTTACAGGTGGACACAGTTATAGGAACCTTTCATTCTACTCTAACAGCATCAACAGGTTGAACCGGTATTCCCCAAGACAGATGTGAATGAAAGTTGTTGATGTGGTTAAAATCAGGAACCAAGGGAATACATGAAATACTCTACGGAAAATGTAACACCAAGGGCATTTCACGTGAAGCCTCCAGCGAAAAAAAGTAAGGTTTTAAATTCAATCTTATTGGTTAGTTTGAACATCTAGCAAGTGTAAAAGAGAAGACATGATTTTTCTTTCGTGGCACGTTACGGGAGAAGCCGTATTTGGATGTGGAATTTCTTACAAGAATTTTTTCGAATTGTGCCAAACTGGAAGTATACTCTTCAAACCAACATTTGGGTACGTAAGTATTCTTTTATTTTTCGATTTTTTCACTCCAAAATATAGCCTGAAGTGTGGTTGGAATACTTCAGAGGTTCTGAAATGGTATGTTTATCAATTAACGAGGTTCGTATTTTTATGTACTTACATGTCGCCCTGGGTATGACGTTAGGCACTTATATAGGTTGATAGGTTTGCGGGATATTGCATTAATAGGCACTATGAGTATTTTTCAGCAATAATAATCATTTTAAATATACAGGGTGTAAACGTTATGGTAGTCATTATTGAAATGGGTAATAGGGCGGGTCAAAACAAGTCAAAAAGTTCATATGACCCATGGTCCAAAAGTCAATAGATTTTTGTCTAAATGGCTTTATAGTTTACAACTTTAAGTGCTTTATATCGACCACATTCACCACAATCTTACTAATTTTTATAACCTAACCGAAAACTTTTTAAATTGGATAATTGACAAATAAATGGCATTAAGTTAAGCTAAAATTTGTGTTCAGTAAGTAAGTAAGTTTCATTAAATTAAATATTTAAAACATACATGACAACAGCGCGTCGGTCATTCATCACTCTTATCGAACCGGCAATCGATCGCAAACGGTAACAGTGGTTAGTTATTGTTCGCGTACGTCGTCTTGTTTATTTACAATATTCTCGAATCAAGAGTTCGCCGACATGTTGTTAGTTTACGGTGAAGCTCGTCAGAATTCAAATCTTGCAGCTCAAATATATCGCGACAGATTTCGCCAACGGGTACACCCAGACAGGACATTTGTGCATGTGTACCAAAGACTTCGAGATACAGGAAGTGTTCAGCCACTAATATTCGCCCTCGTAAAAGACAGGTTACTGTAGAGCAGGAGGAACAAATTTTAAATATCGTGGAAATCAATGCAGATATCAGCACTCGGGAATTAGGCCGCCGCGTAGGACTATGGCATACCATAGTCCATAGAATCCTACGGAAAAAATTGCTTTATCCCTACCATGTACAACGAGTGCAGGCCTTGTTACTAGAAGACTACCCTCGCAGACTAACATTCTGTCAGTGGTTTTTGCACAAAAACATTGAAAATCCAGATTTTTTTAAAAACATTAAAGCGATGGGCGAATGTACTTTTATGCGAGACGGGATATTAAATTTCCATAGTACTCACACGTGGGCCCAAGAAAATCCTCATACCACTCGTGAAGGTCATTTCGATTAACGTTTTAAAATAAATATTTGGGGGGGGGGGGTGGTATTTTTGACGATCAGGTAATTGGCCCTTTCGAGTTACCCCCAAAGTTGTCAGGTGAAGGATACCTTAGCTTTCTAGCCAATAACCTACCAGAACTTTTGGAACTGACCTAGGACAACATGCCCTTACAACGGAGACAGAATTTGTGGTTTCTTCATGATGGGGCACCACCACACATTTATAGAGGCGTCATTCAGTATTTGAATGAACATTATCCAAATAGCCAGCAAGATCTCCTGACCTCAATCCGATGGATTTCTGGTATTGGGGAGAACTTAAAGGGATGGTTTATGGGGCTGGTCCAATAACAACTGAAGCACAACTTCGCGAAAAAGAATTTAATGCTGCTGAAATAATAAATGGACAACTTCGAGGACCTAGAGTAAGAAGAAACTGGGTTCGTCGTAATGAAGCTTGTGTAGAAAATGCAAGCGAACATTTTGAACACCATCTTTAAATACAAAAAAGTGCAGTGTGGGTTTTAAAAAGAAAAACAATGCATGTATCAAAATTGTGTTCCCTATTTATACGTGGGAGTATTTTTTGAAGCTATAATATTGATTTTAAATAAACTTTCACTTCGACAGAAATTGTTGTTGTTTTAAAAATATTTTTCCAGTTTCTATGCTCACCAAAAATCGTTATACGGGCATGATCTAGAAAAAGAAACATTTACATGCAAGATCATAATTATATATTATATCCCTATATACCTTGTGTTATTTTTGATCAGCAAGCATTTCTTACTAAACATGTCGCTACTAACTAATGGCTTACATTATTCCTAGTACTAAATTCTAAAGAATCATTAATATTGCGATTATGTCCATACCACGCCACTATTTCTTTGACAGTTAATTTCAGAATATCGATTGTAACGCTGGACAGCAAAGGCA